GCCGGGGTGCGGGCAGGGTGGCGAGAGGCTCCCAGGGCCGGGGCCCGGTGGGTGGAGGGCGGGGGTGTGTGTCTGCGCCCAGCCGATGAACTTGGTTTCTCAGTCACAGTTCCCGTCAGGCTTTCGGGGTGGCTGGTTCCCTTCCCTCCTCTAACAGCCCTTGGAGGCACTGGGGAGTTGGGAAGGAGGAGGCTCTTCCCTCTTTGGCGACTGCCTTTCGAGCCCCTTTCAGGGGCAGGATGTGATTAAGACTTCACTGTACTTGGTTTTTCTTTGTCTGGCAATAATTGTCCCTTAGTTGAGATTTCCTATTGGAAATTGACCTTTGCGACCCATGCATCACCCTGTGGCGCTTCCAGATAGGAGGAGAATCCCCTTGGATGCAGCAGAAAGTTGTTTATGGAAATCTGATTCAAAAGCACGGTGTAGCAACAAGCTTCCGTTGTCCAGAAAAGATTTCTGTGCAATTGCTAGGATTTGAAAGAAATTTTTACTGCCTTGCTAAATACATGATCCGGTTCTGGGATCGGTGCTGTCACTGGTCGCGCTCACTTGCTATAGACAGTGACAGTGTTTGAGAAAGCGTTGGAGTTTTTGGTGGTGTCTCAGATCCTTACTAATGCGGAGTCCTTTGAACCTTAGCCCTGTTAACAAAGCCATATATTCAATAAATACTGTGCGGCAAATAGGTCAAGTGGCAAATGAGTTTTAAGAGGTTTGCTCAGTCTCTGTCTGAGGTGGGGAAAAAACTGTCTTGTCCATGCCTCAGTCTGTCAGACAAGAGAAGCATAGAGCAGTGCAGGTAGTGATCAAGAGTAAGTTACAGTGCAAATGTCTCATGTACAGCGCGTTAACTTTGTAGCGTGAATATACGGGAAAACTGCAATAACTAAATATTGGATTTAAAAAATCCTAATGCATGTAGTATCGAATCACATTCTTCCTGAATGTTTTTGTCCCTTTTCAAGGTCATATGCTAGAAAAAGATAAAGGTTTATTTTAAGCTTTTGCTGAGTAACATGGGCTTGTGAAACATGTGTCTGTCTGCAGGTTGAAAAGTGTGGTTTAGAATTTTTCTACTTGGGAAAAGTAAAGTTGAAGCAGCAAATCACTGTCTTTAAATTAAATTACATCCTTGTGAATGTAATTTAATGTTTTCATACGTTTCTAAATTATAATTATGTCATGGGGTTTTTTGAGACTAAAAAACCCGTGTTTCTTTAAAAGTTGTGACTGCTCTGTATTTTCACTTTCTAGCAAAGTGCGTGTTTCTTAATTTCTTTCTTTTCTGTCTTTTATCTTGGTTTGAAAAATACGGATTTTTATTATGATAATTTGCATTAAGCAGAATTTTACTGGTTTTCATCAGGCTTCTGAAAGGAAATACTGGGATCATTTTAAGATTTTCATCTCTAATAATAATATGTGTCTCTACAAGTAGATTCTTTGCGGTCTGACATTCATAAGTGTAGAAATAAAGCTGAATCATATTTTTAAAAAGGGATAAAGGATATAAAAACCTGTCCTTTTTTTAGTTCTAATCACAGAATTCCATAAATTACAATAAGGTTTCCAGCTACTTGAAATAAATGTTTTGCAGTCATATGAAAATAAAGTTTCATATTTCTTAAAAAAGAGATAGTTGTTTGTTTTCCTCATGTGGGAAATGGAGGCAGTGTTAGCATCCTTAGCGTGGGCATCAAGGCATTCTCCGTTCTCTGTCTTTTTCTCTCCACTTAATGTGTTTTATCAAGTAATTTCCAAGGTTCTTGCTGATGTTACCTAGTGAAGCTGGCTTCTATTTCAGTTTTAAAATGGTGTATTTCAGCTTAGATTGGAATTCTTGTTAGATATAACCTGATCCAGACACAAACCTTTTTTGTCCTGATTTAACTGAATTGGTTAAAACTAAACTGAAGGTCCTCTTTTCTGTAGGCAGGTCTTGATCTTTTGAACTTTGGTTACTACACCTATTTCAAATGATGCTACCCTTTCATGTCAGTATTGCGTATGGCTGTATTATCCTCCCTCTTTTTGCACTTTGAAACAGTAGTTGCTTTACGAGAATCAATGTTTTTCTGATCCTCTGAATGGAAAAGGTTTTGGAAATGGATTTCCTAGCTTAGAATGATCCGTTATCTGTCCTAGTCAATTCACAGTCCCTATTCGTGTTTTGGTACCTCGTGCAAGTGACCTTGGTACTTTCCAGAAGGATAAAACAATCAGATACCAAATTGACTGACTATGTAAATTTAGTATACTATTTTGGTATCATATCAGATATATTCATTAACTTTGTGAACAAAACTTACCTATTTGACAATAGGTTGTAATATGTTGAGATATATTTTCTGCCCTTTCATGATATAAAGCCTGTAAGAAACATTTTGTGGAAAGCAAGAGCAGTCATAGCTGAGTTGTGACTACTGATTTATGGTAGTTTAAACAAGAAGTTGCTTTGTGTTATACAGTAGATGGAGTAACTTTTGAGTTGTTAACATGCAGTTATTTGGACATTGTGATGCTTTGCTTAAATGATGACTTTTGTGATAATTGTTAAAAAAAACCAATGTGCTAAATTAGATACTTTTTTATCATTATAAGATTGTCTTTCTGGAGGTATAAGCTATATCGGATAACATGTGTTTCTTTTTCTTAGAACCGACACAGATATACAGATTTCTACGTACCCGGAATCTAATAGCAGTGAGTAATTGGTCTTTATCACTCCTTTACTTTGGACTTGCAGGAAATTTTAATTAAACCATAACCTTTTTCTTTTCTTTTTTTTTTTTTTTCCTTCCTCTGCAGCCAATATTTTTGCACAGGACTCTCACTTACATGTCCCACAGAAACTCCCGAACAAATATCAAAAGGTAAGATCATTTTTTGAAAAGTAATCCTAAAAAGTTAACAAAGTAGCAGAAGTCTGAAAAATATTGGAGGGTGACCTCCTCTTTTTACGAGGTGTGTAAAACATGACCTTTTCTTTTTGAAGAATTAAAAAATGCATAAATCATGTTACAGTTGATTTCTGAGACCCAAGAACTTCTCTGCTACGTTAAGGGGGTGTGTGACTTTATGCTTGTGGCTTCTGTTGAAACTGGGAGTACTCGAATGTGGATAATTATCTGCAGAATCCTAACTAATTCTCCCATGTTTGTTTTCTGTTTTGGGGGAGAACGTCTTAAAAAACCAAACAAAACTGTGTAATGTCTGAACTCTTGTAATCAATGTTGCTTGATCATAATGATATGAAACATTCGATTTTAAACTGTAACCTAACTGCTTATTTAAGAAAGAAAAACACAAAAAAACCAAACAAAACTTTTGGTTTTGTTAATTAGTCTTGGAAAGATCCAGTAATTATTTCTGTAATTATTTTAAAAGCTGAAAAACGAAGGAGGTCAGTTTATAGGATTTTACAAAAAATCCAGCAAACACTTTAAAAAGGTTGCTTTGAACTGGATACATCTGAGAAATGGGCTCCAGTTTTGCCATTGCAAAATAGTCATTCCTGTCATGTGAGGTGCTACAGCTGCACGTCAATAGACTTTAAAATATATAAATACTGCAGAGTGAAAAGTGCAGTGTACATTATTTATTAGCAGAATCCTTTCAGTTACTTCCCCCCTCACTGAAGATCATTTGTTACACTTTGGATTTTTTTGTAGCCTGAACACTTATTTTAAAATATTTTAACGCTAAAGATCTTATCACTTGGAAACAGTTGCTGTGGAACTGAAATACTTAATCATGAACGCATAAGGAATAGCAATAAAATCAGATTATGCTGACAAATCTAATTTAAACTATATTTGTATCTAAGGAAGGTAGTATTTGAATGATTTGTTGAGCAATAGAATTTGCACATTTTTATTTAAATTAAAGAAGCTACACTAGATATTCTTGGATCTCTTTGATATTGTTTAATGTTCTTGCCATTAGCTTTAATGCGACAATATAACTTTTTCTTAAAACTGAATCCATAATGTACAACTTCAGGTACTTAGGACAGATACAGATCAGATTATTTTTTTTTTAAACTATAAGTTGCTGCTTACTGTTTTTTTACAAGTTACCAATGTAAATTGATGGCTTATTTTAAACCAGAGCAATGCCAAATTCTTAAGAAATAATGTTCAGGGTGTTTTTGTTTTTTAATTTATTTTTTTTTTAACTAGAACTGTGCAACAGGAGGTTCTTGCTTATAACTTATATTAACTATATTTGATTGAATTCGTATGTTTTTACCTGAATCTGTTTCTTTGGATATCTGTTGTAGTTGCTGGGAAACAAGAAGTGGTACTTTGCATGTACATTGTGTTATCCACTGTTCCAAATTCCAGTTCAAATTCAACTGCACAAGTAATGCTTAGTTTCTCTTTGAAACATACTGATTTTTACTAGTTCCCTTAATGCTTTGTTTTAGAGCTGTGATTTTGGTTAGTTGGTGTTCTAGTCTAACAGGCAGATTAATAGCCATTTCACTCACTAGTTTTCTGACAATGCTGACTTATTGAAATCATTCTGGTAATTAGGTCTAGGAGGATTAAGTAAAACATTTCAGTAGGTTTTCTTTATAAAAACACAATAACGCAACAGAAGTGAGCTAGCTTAGTTGAGGTGAAAAAACAGAAAATAATTGCAAAGAAGTGTGGTGTTCTCCCCGGGTTCCCCCCTCCCACCTTTCCATGGTCTATCTGTACTGTGGTCCTTCTCTTTCAGCCTAGTTAAAACCACAAAAGTTGTAGTTTAAAGGTAGTTTGGACTACTTAGATGTAGTGGCAGAACAGTCTCAACTGAACTTCCAGAGGAGGTTAGCAGGATAGTTGTTTGCTGATCTGTGCTAGTAAATGTTTTCAATTGTGCACGAGACCTTAATTGCCATTCTTCATTCAAAAGAAATGCTTAAGGTATGCGATCCTGTTATTCTGGTGAAAAAGCAGCTTTAAAAGAGGAAGAGTATCTGAACTAGAGTAGAAGATCTTCCTGAGGCCTATACTAGGAAAAAATTATGTACCTAGCTTCAGTGAAAATGTTAGTAGAGTTCTCTTTGCAAAGAAGTATCTTTCAGAACTGCATCATTGTTTGTCTGCTTGTGGACTGTGACTGTACATGTATATTTATTTATTCCCATAGAACTTCTTAATTCTGCCATTTTTAAATTGCTGATCATTCTTTTGATTGCCATTTCAGTAAATAGTATCATATGTAAAATATAAAGAAGTTATGTCCAAACTTTATAGAACTTACATATCACAATAATAGTTATAGCTCCACATCTTTTATCTCTAGCTCTGCGGTAGTCTGAGAAAAATGCCAGGCAAATATATCACTTGGAGGTAGGGAAGTAAAACTGCATTTTTACCAACAAATTATCCCTTGTTGTTGGTCCGTATGTTTAATACTTAGAAAGTGTTTATAAAGACCAGAATGCTTTGAGTATAGAGAAATGGTGATAGGGAATAAGTTAATGGCCATGTGTCAACTTGGACTACAAAAGTATTGAAGTTGCTGCTTATCATTGGAGAGGTAATATGCTTTGGTCAAGTGATACTTGATGGAGAACTGAAATGGGCTTTCTGCCTGTGGGTCTGTCTTCAGGTTACTATATTATTAGACCAAATGATGGCGTTGGAAAGAAGTTACTAACTGTTATTAGAAGTTGCTTCCCACACAGTATTTGGATAAAGGAATAATTTTTTTATTTATTGGCAGAGTAATGGCATGGTGTGATGTGACTTCTAGTACTTTGTTAATTATTACTGTGCTTGACTGGAATAAGAGTGGGTGGAGAAAGGAATGCGCAAGATGCGCATACTTGTAGCACAAGTAAATGCTGTCTTGAAAATCCTGGGTGTTGGGGATGGTTATTACAAAAACTTAATTTTGTCTGTTATGCATGGGAACATGGTAACATAAAAATAGTAATTCAGTTTAAAGGAGTTTCTGTAATTTTTTTATGTTCTTACAAGTTAACTTCAAAGGCAATAATTTTGATTTAATGGGTTTTTTGATTGCTATTTTTAGTTTTTCTGAAAGATTTTTTTAGGAGGGCTCTTCTTGTGACTAACCTGAGTTTGAAATTAGGAAAGGTTGTTTCATTGTTCTTTTTTGATCAATAATGCTCACAAATATTAAATGCAAGCTGTGTCAGATATTAGTATATTTTATGAAAGATTGTTAAACTTTCTCCCATTCCTGAAACATGTTTGTCTCTTAGCTGGTTTCTGGCTCATATTGCGATTATGACATAACTTTGATCTAGAGCTGTTTTAAGCAATTCTTTAGTCTGAAGAAAGCCTCCTAAAGATAAGTGTACTACTTGTTGTTCTGCAGAACCATGGCTGATTTTGAAGAGTTTGGGCAGAGTGTGCGCAGAGACTTTTTTACCTTAGAATCTGAAACTTTCAACAAATTCCTGTGTTCTTAACATCTCTTGCTTTAAAGCTGAGCGTTTCAATGTTCATTTTGATAATCCCACATTTTCGTGTGGTCCTTGAATCTGTCATCTGTGTGGACTTTAGTCTGAATAGAGCTTTGAATCAGTGACTGTTTGCTACACAAATCATGATTATTTTTCTCCTTGTTATCTGACTGCAGCCTTGTACTTGTGTAGTGTTTCTTGTCCAGTGCTACCATTTAGCCACCATGTGATTTGTAACTAAATCATTCAGATGCATTACTTCCCCAGAGCATGTCGTTGTTGTTCCCCCCCCCCAAGAAATCCAGTATTTGGCAACAGCTTATGTTCTTCTTGGTTCATTTTTCTAAGGTATAAATGTAAAGGAAGGATGCCCTCACAGTTCTTGCTTTGTCATCTAGTGTAGTGCAGTTTTGTTGGCATCTAGGTCCAAGCACTAATTTTCCTTTAAAGAAAAATTGAAAGGCTATTCTGGAAACTATTGAGTAACTTCTGTTCATGAGGGAACTTTATTTAGCAGTGAACATTAAATTGTATGTATGGTAGAACAGGCTGAACATATGAGCATGAACAGACTGATGTCAGAATTATGGAGAGAAATGATTTGAAGTGATTATTTTCTATGACATTGTTGTCATTGGTTGTCGTCATCATCCCCTGTTTCCTGTGAGCATGCTCTAGAAGCAGCTTCAGAATTTGTTGTTCTTTGTATTGTGTCCATTTAATATAAATTTGTGGAGAAAGAAGGGGTTTTTTTATAATTAGATTTTTAACTGTTTTGTCAGATAAGATTTTAAGTGTTTTTCATTATTATTATCAAGATTACAATAGTAATGACTGAAGAGCTGAGGCGTAAATTCCTAGTAGGTATAAGTGTCACTAAAATGGGAAGATTTTCTTTGACCAAAGCTGAAATGTGGTTAGACATGTTCATTGCAAGGTTTGCATATGGTGCTGTTAAATGACACTTCTAATGAGCATTAGGATTACTTCTGAAAGGTCTGGGTTTAATTCTTTGTATTATTTTCATACTGCTTGAGAAGCAGGATTACAGTTGTGTCCCTAAAAAGGTATAAAAAGGGTGCTTTCTGAACAGAAGGCTAAATTTTTATACATAGACAGTTTAAGATTGAAAACCAAGTCAAAATTTAGACTGAATAAATTTTCTTGTTATATGTTATGGGAATAGTGGCTATGCGAAACTATTCTTTCTGCTTTTTCTTCATAGGAAAACATTCAAAGTAGATGACATGCTATCAAAAGTAGAGAAAATGAAGGGAGAACAAGAATCTCACAGGTACTGTCCTGCATATATGTATTTGTGTATGTATGTACAAATGAACACATGCATGTGCTAAATCAAAAGTATTTTTGATTGATAAAATGAAAGTGATGAAGAGTAATTATTAGAAGCAAGGTACTTAGTGTTTGAAATGGTGCTTTCAGAATCTTAAAATGTGTGTATGTGTGGTGGTTACTTAAAAACTTGGAGAAAAGCAGTATCAGGATAAATTTTCAATATTCATCATGCTGTCTCTTCAAATGTGTATAGAAGCCTCAAATAGGTATTTGCCTTAATTTTTTTTTTAAGATTGTCAGTTATGTCAGTAACTAATCTGTGTGTGCTGGAATTAAAAAAAAAAGGGCAGATTTGGGAAAATACCGTGAAGTTATATTATTTGGTGTTTATGTGGTTGTATACTTGCTATTTTTAACCTTATGTTCATAGTTACATTAAAAAAAACCCCAACCAACCACAACAAAAAAAACCAAACCAAAACAAAAAAACCCCTGAAAATTCTAACAGTATTTGAAAGATCTTACCCATCTCAAGCCATAATAGGGTAACTAGTTATAAAATGTTTTCATTAAAGGCTGTAAAGCTTACAGTTTTCCCTTCTAATTTTCTTGTGAGAAGTATTGCATGTTCTGAGATTTTTCTTGTGGTCTGACCCCACATATATCTCATGTTGAACCTTTGCATAGTTCTAAATGAATAACAGTGTTCCCTCTTTAACAAATAGATAATTTCAAGTATTAATCCCATATGAAATTGTCATTTGGGGGCGGCTTACTCTGAATTCTAATTGTGAAATAGTAATTACCTTTATACTGGTGTACCTATTGGTTTTGTCATGTTAATTTTCTTTTTTTCCACAAGAGTTTACTTTAAATTATGTAACACACTTAAATGTTGGTTACAACTCGTATTTTACTAGGTCTCACTACTGTGCTTCAGAAACAAATACTGAACTCTTGCTGAATTTGACATTGTACTTGGCAAAAGTCAAAGTTCGGCAGAGATGTGAAACTTGGGAATGATGCATTTCAGTTCATTTTCATCTTAGCTTGTCTTTGTAATGATGGCAAAGAGAAGGCATAGCAAGTATGCCTGGTCTGTTGTTTCTTGATGCATTTCCTAGTGCTGAAATAAAATGGTATGAAAAGCTTATTCACTGAGAAGTGATATGGCATACAATGTGTTTGTGATGCTTGAGTGCAACAGATGATGACCATAACAATTTGTTAAAAATTGTATTCTTTCTGTATGAATTAGTTAAACACCTAAGCTTTTTGTGAAAGTATGTATGATGGAAATGAAGCAATCCATTGTAAGACTTACAGAATAATTTTGTTCTAATCTGTACAATTCAGTCAGAGATCCGTTCTAGTCCTGCAGGTTGGCTTTGTGTTCTTTTTTGGTAGAAAGACTGTAGATAATTTGCCAATATACTTCTATTTAACATACTGAATAGATGATGAAATGCAAAGCATTCTGGAAATTTTAAAACAAAACCAGACATTTTAAAGACTAACCTACGTTGCTGGAATGTGTGAAGACCTGTTGAGGTATTTTTTTGCTTGCTTTTTTAACCAGCTGTTCTTTTTCCATAGTGTTTGCAAATAATTAGATTACCTCTGAGGCAACCATGCTAGATAGAATTTAGTCTGAAACAAATTTGTAAAATTTGTGTTCTAAGAGGTTTTATAGATTTACTGTATATTATTTTTCTTAATTATCTTTTGCTCCATATATTGTGGATACTTGCTAGGTAAATATTCCCTTTTTAAGGATAAGGACCATGTTGAAACCAAATAGTCAGAATATTGATTTGTGTGAGTTTTGTGCTTTCAAAACTATTAGAAAACATACTTTAATCTAGAATTGGTCTGGAAAAGTAACATGGATGCATGATGCAAGTTGGTATAGATGCAATCTTTTGAATGCTCAAGCTGTTGGGCACTTTGACTAATCATCTTGGTGCTCTTGGGAATGTTTGTGTTTAAAAATAGATGTTGAATGTCAGGTTGTATCTTCCTGAGAAGTCAGTGAAGGTGCTCCAAGTTGTATCTGGTGTTCTAGTGTAATAGATGATATTTTGTTCAATACTATGTACTTCAGAAATACTACATGGTTTTGAGACCCATTTTAATCAAGGTTCTTGAATACTTGCTTTAAGCTGAAATGTGTTCTGAATATAACAGTTGGAAATAATAGGGGTCTACGGTCAGCAGAATAGTCTAGGCTATGAGTTGCAGCGTGGTGAAACAAAATAGATGCAATTATTATTTTGATTGCATATGTTATGGATGATAGGGACTTGATGTGACTGATAATCTTTATTTCTAAGGCTGTAGCTTTCCCATTGTAAAGACTCTGCTTACCAAACTTAAAATACTTGTTTAAAAAAAAAAAATCTATTCCAAGTATATGGTTCAGGCTGAAGTTCTAGAAAATATCCATCAAAACTTGTCTCTTGTTGATGAATGTCTAGGAAATGTGTTTGCCTCCCTGTGAAGGCAAGATCTCATGTCCTCAGACAATGCCCTTCTACTGTAGTGTTTAAACCTCTACTTTGTTGGGTTTTTTGAATGTTATCAAGTCACAGAATACATAGAGAGAATCAGTCTGTAAAGAGAAAACTGGTCTACAACTTTGCCTCAATTGCAGCTGCTGTATCCAGGCAGTTTGCAAGTCAGAAAGATGGACCGCTTCATTACAAGTTCTGCCTCTTGTGTAGGCCTGTCCTGAACACCAGTGAATAGAGTGGAATGGCTGCTGTGAGAAGAAAATACTTCCTTGTTCTAACATTTCCTTTCTTTTTTCTGTTTAGCTTGTCTGCTCATTTGCAACTTACGTTTACTGGGTTCTTCCATAAAAATGGTATGTTTGCTAATTCATTCATTATACTGTTAATTTGTATAGCACCTTTGAAATTAGTATTGATCTTTGAGGGGAATATTGGAATATTTTGAATCTCTGCTGTTTGGATGAAGATTTTAACTTGTTTAAGTTCAGACTGTCCCATTAGTTCCAACACTTTCAATAACACTTAGCATAATTGTAACGTTAAGCAGATAAGCCTTCCGGGGTTTTAGTCAAAACAGTGACTTTGAGAAATACTTCAAGGCATCATCCATTCAAACTGAAACAGACCTTGAGGAGCTCCTGAAGAAAGTGATTTTATGGGAGTGTGTCTTTGGTGTATTTGAAGTAGCTTTAAAAAAAACCCTCAGCCTTCAAATAGTTGGAAGATGCAGTGTTTTTTAATTTAAAATAGAAGCGTGAGAATAAATTTTATCAGGTAGGGCCTAGAAATGAGGTAAAGGCCATGTCAGCGATTATAAAAGCAACGGAAATCATGTATTAGTGATTTGCAGTCATTCTATTGCGTCTTTTATCCACATAAGGCTTAACCTCTCAAAATCGGAATATTGGATTTCCCAGACCAGCACGAAGGGTTCTGTTCCTTTAACAAAAGCAGAAGTGACATGCTTTGTGCTGTATGGGCATGGGTAAATTAACTGTCTTTTTACTTCCCTGGAAAAAACCCTAGCTGTTTATCTATTAAAATAAAGCGGTGTTTCTAATTTTTCAGTTAAAAATATTCTGAATGGCATCTTAGTCTTTGGATGTAAAAGCTAATAAAATTCATGTAACAGGTTTTGTACTTTTTTTTTGGAAGTTAGGTTCTCTTAAAGTATCTTGTGCTTAACCAGATCTATTCAGTAAGATGTTTGAAAGTTAAAGTTGCAAATGTCTAGATTTCAGAATTGCTTCTTTATTAAACTGTAATATTATTTTGAGAAAGTTCTTCAAATCTGTAGATTAGGAACACGCTGCTTCTGGAACTTCAAAATACTGCTGGTCTCAGTGGATAGCATTCATCTTGTTTCTGCTCTGAGGAACTTCATGTTGTATGTTGCTTTTGGTATTTATGCTGAGAAACCACAAAAGATAAGGAGTTTTGGGGCAGCTGGTGATAAGAATAGATATAAAGGTGGAGGAAAGGGTATGCAGATGTGTCTTAAATTCAAATATGTAACTTAAAAATCTATTCCTTCTGGGACAGTACATAGTAGTAAACCTCACATATGGAACTTAAAATACCTAGTGGATAGGATAGTGGTTCCATAGATTTTGCTGGCAGACCTTGCTTTTCTATTACAGTGTGGTCTTACACAGATATGGGCTGTAGTAGATATTAAAGATGTTAATATATTTGACTTTCTGTGTGTTTTTGAATGTTTAGACTGCACAACTCTACTGGTAACTATAAAAACCTTTCACTTCAAGCAAGTACTACATACAGTGAAAGCCTGATGGTCATTTGTACCATAGAAAAGGATATCACTAACATAAGTGATGTATGCTATAGTGAATATTAAATATAGAAAATATTTAAATTAATGAACCTGGCACAATAAATACGCTTCTTGGTCTGGATATAAATTATGTTAGAAACTCTTGAAACTGAGAGGGTGGTGGAGTTTTTGTTGGGTTTTCCTCCCTCCCCTGAGTTGCTGTATTTGCTAAGAAGATTTCTAAATTCTCAAGTTTACAATAAAAAAAATAAAAATCCTTTGTTTCATAAAACTGCTAGTGTCTGTAGATGAGTTACCAGAACACTCTCTCAACTGAAACACATTAAGCTTGTTCAATGTGGATATGCTATCAGGAGGAAAGCAAGTGAGGAGACATGGGTTATGTTGTCTTTACTATGCTTTGCTCTTTATATCTGATGAGCATAACAAAGTATTTCATTGAATGTCAGATTCTTTGTGACATGGATGAAGGTGAAGCCATTGTGCTTTTTAACTTAAGCCCATAATGATATTTGTAAGATTTTAAAAGAGCAGAAATAACTTCTTATAGATTCACTCAGTTTTAGCTGATCATTGTTTTTCAGAATTTCTTCCACAAACTGTTTTTAACCAGATATATAATCAAGATTTATCTTTCTTTTCTTTTTCTATATGAGGGCACATTTCCAGATAAACATGAATTCACATGATGAAAGGTTCTCTTACTATATAGTGAAATTTATTTTGTAAGGCAGTTCTTAATTGGCATTGCTGATCATACTGCTGGTAGTAGCTGTTTTGAAGATTCCAGGCTCTAGGAAATTTATAGTGCAGAGACTGTGAAGCCAAGTCTTATTTTCTAAGATTTTTTTTTCCCCAGGTTTTTTCCAAGAGTCCTTTAACAGCTATTGTGCATATACTTAACCTTGAATAATCTTTAAAGGTTTTTTTTTTCATTTTGTTTTGTTTTCCTATCCGATAGCACCTGGATCTTAAGTTTTGATGCAAACCAAATTCTAGGTTTGCAAGCTGTACAGAAAAAAATTATAGGAAATAATTTGACTCATCTGTTATTAGTGTGTTCTGACTTTCCTTAAACCTACCTGTATCATTTTTCTCTGCTATAAAATGGTTTTGGCAATGCCAGACGTAGCAAGCTTACTCTTTTAAACATTGGAGATCAGTTGTGCTTTTTAATCTGCTAGTATTAGAATAGTTAGGATAGGATATATTCTCAAGTGGGAATTTGCAGTAAGTTTGGGGAGAATTGAAACTTAGAATTTGACTAGAGGTCTTTGTGCCTGGAGGTACCTATGGTTAAAAAGTAATTACAAGTGGATTTACACCATTGAATAAATCTTCACTTTTTCAGAACTTAAAATATTTTTCTGTTTAGATAAGCCATCACAAAACTCAGAGAATGAACAAAATTCTGTAACCCTGGAAGTACTGCTTGTGAAAGTTTGCCACAAGAAACGAAAGGTAAAAATTATTTGACAAACTATTAATATATATTAAGGCAAAATGTTTACCTGATTCTGGAACATCTAATTAACATTGCCATGCAACAAGGTAATGGTGAAATGATGCTTCTGTTGAGATTAATTTAGTCTTTAAATTTAAGAACTAAGCTGTTCAAGTTGGTTTCTATTGACTGGGTAAGGAATTCTTAAGAAGCAAATATATATATATATATATATGGATTTTGCTCTGCTTTGTGAGAAATAACTGGAAATTTAAAAAAAAACATTCAGCTTTCTTCATTGAATTTAGCTTGCTTGTGAGTCAGATTCACTCGTGAATTTCAGTCACTTCTATTTTTACTTCAATTTTTTTGTATCACATCATTAAACTATTAATTCTGTTGTGATGTCTAGAGGCTTAAGTAAACCAGGCAATCACAAAATCATAAAATAGTCTATGCCTTTTAGAGTTTAGAAATAAAAAGGAACAAGTTGTAATTGTTTTGAATTCCCCAGTTATCTGCCAGGTCTTGTCTCTTTCCTTGCTTTTTCTGTACCTATGTTTTTTACATCGATCATCTCAATTACTGCAGATTTTAGCTACTATGAATCATAAACAATTTTAATCTTTTTTTTTTTAAGCATCTTTGAATTTGCTTGCTGTTTTAGCTATGTTTGTTTCACACCAGTTGGCAAATTATCTTCACAGCTATGGGAATATGGGAGGCTCAGTAATACATGCTGTAATTTTTAACCAAAAAGGGAAAGATTTGCAGTCAGAACTTTGTGTATATTGCCTAAGAATGTTAAACTGTTTTGACATGTTTTTAAGAGTTAATATTGTTGTAGCCAATTTTGTTACTTGGTGTAGTATGGATAAATATTGTAAAAAGCAGGAGGTGCTGATGGTTATTTGAAATGTTTTGCTGCAAGTTTCATGCTTAGGCCATCTTGCCTTGTTTTTCCAATACTACACAGTGCTCAATGATCTATTTGAGAGATACTGAATACAATAAATCCTAGGTAAGTGGTTCTTTATCTCCCAGATAGCGCAAAGTGCACTTTGTAATATTGGAAGGAGAAGATAGGAAGCCCTTGAAATATATATATAACTAAAACATTTAATTTCTTTAGGTAAACAGAATTAAATTACTATTAATGACTGTTCTACAATCTTTCTGAGTGCCTCATGTTAGTGTTAATTTAATCACTTAGAGAAAGATGGCTGCTGCCAGAAGTGGTTATAAAATGCCAGTTTTATTTACGCTTTCAAATATCTGTTTTTTACGTTTAAAACCTGGGATTGTTATTCCAGATTTTTTTATTTACATCATATTTTCAAAAAGATGTCAGGACAAGTACAATTCATAAATGATATAAATTTTAACACTTAATGTCTTTACTTTGTATTCTAATAACCTAAATGTTAGCTTTCTTGTTTTCCTACAGGATGTCAGTTGTCCGATAAGACAGGTTCCTACAGGTAAAAAGCAGGTGCCTTTAAACCCAGACCTCAGCCAAATAAAACCAGGCAACTTCCCATCACTTGCAGTTTCCAGCAATGAGTTTGAACCAAGCAACAGCCATATGGTGAAGTCTTACTCATTGTTATTCAGAGTAACTCGCCCAGGAAGAAGAGAGTTTAATGGACTGATCAATGGTGAAACTAATGAAAACATTGGTAACTTCAGTCTTTAAATATGTCTTTACAAGGTTTAGCCTGTAGACGCATACACAGTTGTCTTGATGTGCAGCATAGGTCATACTCTGAAAAGGGCCAGTAATAGATGAGTGACTGAATTGACTTTCATTTGTTTTCAGTCTTTTTCAAGATGGGGCTAAAATACAGTTGGTAGCTAGAAAGTGTCCTTCTACTTTTATGTAAATTTAACACCAATTTTTACTAATGTGTGATGGTGAAGGTGTGAGGCAACACTGAGTGTGAATAAAGTAAGAGAGCCCTGTGGTTGCTGTGACTATCATTAAACCTCCAGCAACACCAGAGTCAATACTACTCAGCTGTAGGTGTTATCATGGTTTCTCAACAAAACTAAATGACTAGCCAATAAAGAAAATACCTTAATAACAAACTTTTAAAAAGCTATTTTCTTAAACTTATCACACCACAAATGTTACAGCCTTGGAGAGTGCATGTAGAATGAAAAACTTTCTTTCTCACTATTTTATAGCTACAAGAGGAAGACGATCAAATCCCAGATTCTTTATGCTGGCAGAGTAATATGACTAAACTGTGAATATATTTGAACATATCTAAAATATGATTACTGTTAAGCTAAGTGCTCTTTCTCTTGCTGTTGAGCTGTTCATTAAATACTATGTCCTTTTCTATTGTATGACATATCTGACAATCAACAGCCTGTTATATTTTACAATTGCGTAGAAGCTGTTTGTTCTCTTGAATTTGTGCTTATATAATAACTGAATACCATATTTGTTATGTACAGATGTCAATGAGGAGCTTCCAGCTAGAAGAAAAAGAAACTCTTCAAATCGTGAAGATGGGGAAAAGACATTTGTAGCACAAATGACTGTATTTGATAAAAACAGGTAATATTATTTAAAATAAATATTGTTTCTGTTAATTGCTAGGAATTTGTTTAATATTAAATCTGTTCTTTATTTTCAGTATTGGCTGTCTTTGGCTGCGTTTTTAGTTGGTATTTACAATAAAATCTTAGGCTTGTTGTCTTTAAAAAAAAAAAAAAGTCTACAGGTTTCATAATGCACATTTTATACTGAGACCTGTTCAGTGACAATTGTAAATAATTCCTTTCCATGAACTTGAGTATTGTCCTGGTTAATCTGCATCAGTTTGTCTGTTCCTTGTCAGTGTTTTGACAGATGTAATTTCTGTGGTTCTGTTAAAGATCAGTGACAGCATAATTAAAAAGTAAAACAAACAGTCTCTGAAATACACTTACTGCTTGCATTCTATTTAGTGGCATAATTTTCTCCATGCCTAGGCTCTTCCTGGTGCAGTCACAGATCTTTTTCTGCTAGCACCTAAAGAAGACATTAGTTCTCCATTACTACAGTGAAATCTAACAAGTAGTTAAGATCGTAATAGGCTTACTGTGTCGTGTAGTTGAAATATTTTAATAATTGTTATCTTGACACTACTTAATATATTTTAAAGAAGGTGGAGTGGGGTGAACTCACATGTAGCTATAGCTTAGAGTAATCCAGATAGTTCAGAAGATAAGTAGCATACCATTTACCAGTAAGTGAACACTGTAGTTGTTTGTCCTGCAGAAGATAATACCAGCAACAGCTAAAATACAGTATATGAAAATAAGAGTTTTATCCATGGCAAATATAGATCCCAGGTGGAGGTAGGTATTTAGATAATTGCTTTATTAGTAAAAATATAAATATAGCTTCAGGAAAAAGCTGCTTAAAACATAGCTCCAAGTGATTCTGACAGAATGGTTGTTTATCCAAATACAGTTTTAGAAGTCTTATATTTTGAATAGTTTTTTTTTTAAGAAATGTCTTTCTTGAATCTGTATCTTCTTAGTCTTGACAGTATTTTGTTCTTTTCTATTACTTAATTCCACTGGATAACTTTAATATGCTAAACACAGTATGAACCCTTAGGTGGTTTTGTAGTCATGATACATAAGCTAGGACGTTTTCAGCTGTGCTGCTGTATAAGTGACACTGATTTGCAGCAGAATCCATAACAATTTGTATTTTTTAAAAAATATTTATAATTCTACTTTATGTGGAAAGCCATCTTCAAAATATAAGTTATTAACTTGATTAATTATTTGTGGATTTTTGTAAAGTATAAGCTATTCATTTATGTCAACCTCTTGAAGTTAGTGTCTTCTGTTTGATGGAGAAATTGGAAAATAAGTTATTTTACCCAGACTCCAGGCCTGGGAAAGTATTATATTATTTATCATGCAGATCTAGGAAAAGTATTGTCCTAAGGCCATTATCTTCTCTATCTATATGTTGGGGTTTTTTTTACCTTTTGAAGCTCTTGCTGTTCTAAATAGAGTAACTGATGAAGGAGTTGGTGGTTTGCAAGATGCTGTCAAATAGAACAAAAGGTCTCTGATGGCTTACTTGGTGTGTTTATAACTTTATTCTGCTGGGATACTTCTGCTGCAATATAGTTCACATGTAAAAGAAAAAGATAGGCTGTAGTTTACCTGTTCTAATATCTCACTGTAGAATCCTGAAGGGTCTAGAAACAGAAACAGCCTTTTTCTGCAAGACATAATTCCCAAGTTCAAACTGTGTAACTGTTTGCGTACATTCACATGGAATTTATCTATTTAGCAACAACTCATTTATTTTGAATGATGCTTCTGCAGCTTTTTATCTGTTGTCAGGAATTCAGTGCCATTGCTTCAGAAAGTAATGTCTCAAAACAAAAACTGCAAAATCTCAGGAAAGTGAGGTTTTTATTGTAAATTGATATTACTTGCTGATCTGTGTTGATATCTTTGAAACACACATATCCATGAAACATTTTCCTGTGACTATAGCTTTGATTCACTGCTTTTTCTTTTTTGCTTCTCCTGTGCTGTTCAGCAAGTGGCAACAAAATAAAGCCATTCCAGTAGAAATCAGAATTTCTTAAGCTTCACTAAACAAACTGCTACATAGGAGGAAGCAGGGTGGGATAGGGAAGAAAGTGAAAATGTAGTATGTTGCTTAACGTATTTGAATTACCCATTCTAGTCCACGTAAAGCAATTTTTTCTTTGCTTTTTTGAGAATGTCATAATTTATACTTGTTATGTTGAAGTCCTCTTAAGGTTACATCTGACATGGTTCTGATACGAAGATAGGATTCTTTAGTTTTGGCGGCCTGATTAGAGGTTATATAGGTTTTCTAGAACAGACTAGTTATTAATAAAGCAGGAATAAATAAGAGATGATTGGGAGAGGGTATCGTTCTGTTTGGTTTTTGTTTCTTCACAGGAAGATTCCCATCATAGTATTAATTTTGTATTAACAATAGCTTTCCTACATCTCTTGGAATCACTTGGATGGAGGCTTTTGCTTTAATGTTTGGCATTAGGCAGCTTTTTCATTATGGATGGTGTTTACCTAAGATTCACACTTAGTTGCCAAATAAATTTGCCTGAAAATCTGCCTTTAGTTTCATGGAAACTTAGTTACTATGAAATATATTCTACATTTTAATATGCAAACAATAAAAATGAGCTGCTTTACTCATAACACATACTTTGTCTTGACAGGCGCTTGCAACTTTTGGATGGGGAATACGAAGTGGCCATGCAGGAAATGGAAGAGTGTCCCATTAGCAAGAAAAGAGCAACATGGGAAACAATACTTGATGGGAAGGTATGGATTGTTTTAGTATCTGAAAGACCCATCATCACTTAAAATGGTCTAGATTAAGGTGGAACACAATTCGAAGTGCAGTCAGTGGCTGTTTCTCTGAAAATGGATTAATTTGAACAGGAAATAGTACTTCTCTTTCAGGATGTATGGACATAAGTTCTAATTTAGCTCTCAGTTTAGGAAAGCTTTGGCTATACTAGATCATTAATACAAGCAGATGTTAACTACTATGTAGGTGTGGCAGCTGGCTCCTTCAATGACTTTTGAATTTGTTTTATAAAATCAGGCAAATTAAATAGAATCGTAGAATCATTCAGGTTGGAAAAGGCCTTCAATATCATCGAGTCCAACCATCATCCATGCCCACTAAACCATGTTCTGGAGTACCTTGTCTACACACTTTTTGAATACCTCCAGGGATGGTGACTCAACCACTTCCCTGGGCAGCCTGTTCCAATGTCTGACAACCCTCTCAGTGAAGAAATTTTTCCTAATAGCCAACCTAAACCTCCCTTGCCGCAACTTGAGGTCATTTGTTCTCATCCTGTCTTCAGCCACCTGACAGAAGAGACCAGCACCCACCTCACTACAACCTCCTTTCAGGTAGTTGTAGAGAGCGATAAGGTCTCCCCTCAGTCTCCTTTTCTGCAGACTAAACAGCTCCAGCTCCCTCAGCCGCTCCTCAAAAGATTTATGCTCCAGGCCCCTCACCAACTTGGTTGCCCTTCTCTGGACACGTTCCAGCAACTCAACGTCTTTCCTGTAGTGAGGCGCCCAAAACTGAACACAGGACTTGAGGTGTGGCCTCACCAGTGCTGAGTACAGGAGAACAATCGCCTCCCTGCTCCTGCTGGCCACGCTATTTCTGATACAGGCCAGGCTACCGTTGGCCGACTTGGCCACCTAGGCACGCTGCCAGCTCATATTCAGCCGGCTGTCAACCAGCACCCCCAGGTCTTTCTCTGCCGGGCAGCTTTCCAGCCACTCTTCCCCAAGCCCGTAGCGCCGCATGGGGTTGCTGTGACTGAAGTGCAGGACCCGGCACTTGGCCTTGTTGAACTTCATACAATTGGCCTTGGCCCATCGATCCAGCCTGTCCAGATCTCTCTGTAGAGCCTTCCTACCCTCAAGCAGATCGACCCTGCCTCCCAACTTGGTGTCGTCTGCAAACTTGCTGAGGGTGCACTCGATCCCCTCATCCAAATCATTGATAAAGATATTAAACAGAACCAGGCCCAACACTGAGCCCTGGGGAACACCACTAGCGACCCACTGCCAACTGGATTTAAACCCATTCACCACAACCCTCTGGGCTCATCCATCCAGCCAGTTTTTCACCCAGTGAAGAGTATGCTTGTCCAAGCCAGGAGATGCCAGCTTCTCAAGGAGTATGCCGTGAGAAACAGTGTCAAAGGCCTTGCTGAAGTCAAGGTAGATAACATCCACAGCCTTTCCCTCATCCACTAGGCGGGTCACCTGGTCATAGAAGGAGATCAGGTTGGTCAAGCAGGACCTGCCTTTCGTAAACCCATGCTGACTGGACTTGCCATGTGAGCGCTCTCAAGACAAACTGTTCTGTAATCTTCCCCGGTACCAAGGTCAGACTGACAGGTCTGTAGTTCCCCGGATCCTCCCTCCAACCCTTCTTGTAAATGGGCATCACATTGGCAAGTCTCCAGTCCTCTGGGACCTCCTCCGTTGACCAGGATCGCCGATAGATGATGGGGAGTGGCTTGGCAAGCACCTCTGCCAGTTCCCTCAGTACTCTTGGATGGATCCCATCTGGTCCTATAGATTTGTGAGCGTGCAGATGGCGTAGTAGGTCACTAACTATTTCCCCCTAGATTAAGGGGGGTATATCCTGCTCTTCATCCTCGCCTTCCAACTCAGGAGGCAGAGTACCCTGAGGATGACTGGTCTCCGTATTAAAGACTGAGGCAAAGAAGGCATTAAGCACCTCAGCCTTTTCCTTATCTCTGGTGGCAACGTTCCCTTCTGTTATCTGTCTATCCATTAAAGGATAGATATTCTCCTTGGGATTCTTTTTACTGTTAACATACTTGTAAAAACATTTTTTGTTGTCTCTTATGACAGCGGCCAGATTGAGTTCTAGCTGAGCTTTTGCCTTTCTAATTTCCTCTCTGTATGACCTAACAAGATCCCTGTACTCCTCCTGAGTTGCGTGCCCTTTCTTCCAGAGATGATAAACTCTCCTTTTTTTCTTGACTCCTAGCAAGAGCCCTCTGTTCAGCCAGGCCGGTCGTTTTCCTCGGTGGTTCGACTTGCAGCACATGGGAATAGCCTGGTCCTGAGCCATTAAGATTTCCTTTTTAAAGAATGTCCATCCCTCCTGGACCCCTTTGCCCTTCAGGACCGTCTCCCAAGGGACGCTCTCAACCAGTGCCTTGAAGAGGCCAAAATTTGCCTTCCTGAAGTCCACAGTGGTGGTTTTGCTAACCCCCTTCCTTGCCTCACCAAGAATTGAGAATTCTATCATTTCATAGTCACTAAGCCCAAGACGGCTGCCAAGCATCACCCCTCCCACCAGTCCTTCCCTGTTTGTAAACAGTAGATCTGGCAAGGCTCCTCCCCTGGTTGGCTCACCTACCAGCTGTGTCAGGAAGTTATCTTCCACACACTCCAGGAACCTCCTAGATTGTTTACTCTCTGCTGTGTTGAAATGTTTGTTATTATAATTAATTCAAGTTGGACAAATCAAAAGGAACAAACTGCAGAAGCAGAATATTTTGGGGAAAGAAAGAGGAACCCAAAGCTTTCATAGGTGTGATCTTACACACATACCTTAAGAGAATGCTCTTGAAATTTAGTGATGAAAGGAGGAGGGTGTGTCAGTGTAGGAGAAGGTGGTGTGCAGAGAGAAATTGTTGACTAAGGTGAATCAACACTTGGTGATACAGTGAATGCAGGTGACTGTATGCACTTACATAGCCACATGCTTCTGTGTCCTGGGAGAGTATCAGTTGTAAGTGACTGAGGAGAAGAATATGAAAATTCTAGATGGTTGCAAAGTAGTTGTGTATCAACATGATTATATAATTATGAAAAAAGCAGAGACCCAAAGTATATAGTAAAAATATAGTTACAAGCTCTATAATCCTATTCAGCCTTTACCTGGAATACCGCTTCTGATTCTGTTAAACTGTGTTCAAGAAATTAAAATTGAAAAAGTTAGAAACAGCTTTTAGGAAGATCATAGGAGGAGATCCTCTGCGTGTAAATGTACTAAAAAAGATATATATAAATTGCTGTAACTTTATTAAACTGAAACAGGGATGTGGTTGCTTTCTGTTGTTGGGAGAACGTGAGAGAGGTTTTTCATGCTGGAGGTGCTACCCCAAAGAGAAGAAAAGTCACCCAGATCTGATAAGCACACGGTCATTGGTTTTCTGTTTTTGCAATAGCATTTCTGTAAACTAATGAGGCCTAAATATAATAAAGAGCTTTTAAGATAGAATTCTGTAATCTCATTGATAAATTGAAGGTATGATACTTGATAATAGGAGTTTGGATTCAGGTCTCTTCTGTATCTTTATTACTGTCAACTTGATAAGTAAGTGGAATATAAGAACATATCTACAGGAGAATATTACAATAGCATTTTTACAGCAGACAGTGGTACAGTTTTAAAGCTTGTGTATTAATATACAATACTGGACTACAGAATTAGAAGTAGGTGTGAGTAGAAAGAGAAGTACATTGGCAGCAGGCTGGTGGGTAAGTGTTGTTTTCTTTCTAGTCAGGGCCCATGCTGTTTACTGTTTAGTATTTTACAAAGATCAGGATGTGCATGAAGTGGTTGCTCAGTAATGTGCCGGAAACTGCATAGTCGTCCTCTTCAGCTTTTTTTTAGTATTTCTAAATGTGTATGCTTATGTTGAAAACACAAGGACTTCAGGTGATTAAAAAATTGTATCTGTTCCCATTCTGTGAATATTTTCTCATGATTGTTTTTGTATATGGGTAGACACTAATTCTGCTGTTTTATTTTTTTATTTCCTCTCCCCAGAGACTGCCTCCATTTGAAACATTTTCTCAGGGACCTACACTTCAGTTTACTCTTCGTTGGACAGGAGACACAAATGATAAGTCTACAGCTCCTATAGCTAAGCCTCTTGCAACACGAAACTCTGAAAGCCTCCCTCAAGAAAACAAGCCCAATTCTGTTAAACCTACTCAGACTATAGGTAAGCAAACTTTGGTTTTGCTGCTGAATAATTATCTCCTTAGCACTTCTGTGCTTTGGGGTTCCTGACTCATTGGTGCAACTGCTTCAGGTAATCTTAAATGTGAAAAAGCGAAAATGAATGGGCTTTGTTATATCCCATATTTTATACATTTTTTTAAGGTGCGTTTAAAAGCTAAAAATGATGGAGTCTTTGACATAATGACAATATTGAAGTGATTATATACAACGTGCATAAATCCTGATGTGAAATAAACCAGGGAAGAAATCTGTGAATAGGACTTCTAGGGTTGTCTGTATTGCTCTACTCATTTTAATTACTGTTTTATAAGTATTTGGATTTATAGTGTTAAGTTCCTTTTTTATGCTTTGCAGTGAAAATAGTTTTAAAATTTGTCTATCGGATGATACATTTAGCTCTTGGAAAAATGTAGCTGCTACTGTGAAATATGACTGAAACTGTTTAAAATATTGTATATTACATTGCATGTTTGTGGTGTAAAGGTAACTCAGGTTCTTTAAGAAGGTTTATGAACTAGCACTAATCTCCTTGATACATAGTTTGAAGTCTAGGCATGGTCCCATGATGGAAGCACAATATACTTTTTTTTTATTCTTTAGCTGCATTTTCTGCATATTCACACAAGTTAACAAAGATTTATGTTTGGGCCTAAAGGTTTTTTTTTCCTACTTTTATTCATTTTGGACAGTCTGAGGTTGTCTAGATAGAATGCGGGCTTACAGTTAGTACTGTCCAAAAATAGTTTCTTGCTCTTACCCACACAGAACTATTACTACAATGTAAGGTAAGTCTGTATTTGTTATATGTAAATTAATCTGTATGTATTATTGAACTAGTTTCTCCTTAGTCATCAATTAATGTTAAGAGCCTTGTAATTTAAAACTAAATGCTTTTTAAGTTCAGAATTTTTCAGTGTTCTGAGATGTAACTGGTTTTGTTACCCTTCTGCAAGTTAGTTCCTATACATTCTTTCCAGAAGAGTTTACATATTGTCAAACTTTGTAATCAGCTTTGAACTTTAAATATATACCACATTAAAAGCAGTAGTGGGTAAACTATTTAAAATTGGGTTACTTAAAAATGTTTCCACGAAGCAAGGTTAAGTAGCATGCAGTTATCTTGTTTTTACTTCTTTGCTTGGTTTGTATTTAATGTAGTAGTGCCACTTCTGTGGTGTCATTGAAAATGTAATTACCATTGTAATCTGATCCACTACTCTGAGATTACATAATGTCAGAAACATTAATGTTGTCTGCTAATATTCACTGCAAATCTAAAATTACAGGTTTTGTTACCTTAATGTATCCCATTGCCTATTTAAACACGTTAGTTCAAGAGCTATTGAAATGCCTAGAAACTGCCTGTTCTGCTGTTGCTGCTACAAAAAAGCTTGTCTTGTGAAGCTCCTGAATATAAATATTTATCCTAAATTTACGTTGGTGACTTTAAGCACTATTTTAGAAAAACTTAGTAAAATGTCCTTTGATATTTCTGTAGGTATATGTTAAAAAAAACAAAAACAAACAGGTATGTGTTCCAGATCAGTTTCTTTATCGAAGGTCTTCCAGGAATATTTCCCTTTACGTAAGGTTAGCTAATCTGTATCAGTGCTGGGTCTTACCTTGAAAATTTCAATGGACTTAAAAGGTTTGACTCTTAATAATTTTCAAAGAATGTGTGATAGCACACTTTTTAATTCCTGCATGATGTAAAAACATTAACAGACACATACTTGCTGTGAGATGTTTTGCAGAAGACTGTAGTATTAAGATACATATTTAGATATGAAAAACAACCCCATGATTTTTTTCCTTCTTCAAGAGTTGTTTAGATCTTCTTGCAAAATACTGGGATAGCTGCTGGGGTGGAGGTAACTGGTTGTATACTGCAGTCCAGTTAACTGAAAACTTCACAAAGTGATGCAGCTGTACAGCAGGTAGCATGCTATTTGATTATAATTATATCAAGAAATTTAAGCTTAATGTAGTTTTAAAATTTTAAAATTTGTGATTAGTTCAGTTGCTTAATTGCAATTTTGTTAGTAGTTTTTAGAAAACATCTTTCTTCCTTGCTGTCCCAGAGCTTACCTCAAAAAAGCCACTACTAAAATACTTTTTGACACTAGATAGAAAAGACACCTTTGACCATTGTGTACTTTTTCTTTTTTTAATAGCAGTTTCCTGTCTCAGGGTCATGTTTAATCTGAAACTCCCCTTTGATTACTTAGTGGTAGTGGGGGCTGGCCTAGATACTATCTTTCTTTTGTCTCCTTCACAGTTGTTTGTAACTTTGGCCTGGAATGTTGTGTTGGCAGGTAGGGCCCAAGGACAGCTGGAAAACTTAAATTGTGCAGAAGGCAACAGGCTGTTCCTGTTGTTTAAACACCTATCAACATACCTAGACTCTTGACTGGCACCTGATTCACTTCAGAGTTATCAGTATTTCCAAGCTTGTAACTAGATCGGGACTGGGTGATTAAGGAAACTTCTAGGTCCCTGTTACAGAAGTAATTATCTGGAGTGTAGTAGTTCTGTCTCTAGGCTTAGTCTCTGGGGTATGTAGCCAGGCAATTTTTTGTAAAGAGTTGTCTTGCTTGGAGTTTTGGGGTTCGTCTATGGTAGTGCATTGCAGAATTTGTGCAAAATGGTATTTCAGTCTGATTTTCTGTTGGATATGTAACTGTGAGGTTTTGGAGCTGTGGTAATGATAGCAAGGGAATGATTATTATGAAAAAAAATACTGCTTTTCCAAATGTGCCTTTTGTGTAGTTGTATTGCAGTATATGTTGGGAAACTTGATGGGTCAACAATGACTATCTCTGGTGAGACTTTCTAAGAGTGGCAATTCTTTCCACTGCTTTTAGAGCTTTAGTGTGTAGTAATACAAAAGTTAAAGCAAGAAAAATTTCACCCCTACCTGTGCAGAAGCCACTGTCTAGAATGATCCCTAACATCCTCAGCCAGCCTACAGACATCTTTGTGTTTGTAAGGAGTACAAGAATATTTAAATAAGACTGATTTCTGGTTTCTGATTTGAATATTTTTGCCTTAGCTAGGGATTGCAGACAGTTAGGTTTCTTAAATCAGGATGAATGGCTGACACTTAACACACACAAAATTGATGTAATTTCCAGCAGAAGAAAGGCAACAGAAGCAGAGTAGTAGTTGAACTTTTGCTGGAAAAGTTGTTCTGCTTTCTCTTTACTTCCTCATACCAGACCTCCTTGTATCTTAGAGTTTCTTGGAGACCTATATTGTAATTTGTTAAGCCGGTTTTATGCTCAGACTTGCAAAAGAAATGATGGTATGTTGACTAACTCTAGAAGGTGTGTACTAGTTTACTACATAATAAATATGGAGGCAATAGGGATGTGGCAAAGATGCATTGCTAATGTACTGATGGAACCCGTTTTTTCTTGCATCAGAGAAGCTAAGTATTCCAGTAAATTGGTAAAGTTACAAGAGTCACCTTCCAAAATAGTACAGCAGACCCTTAATACAGGAATATGTCGTAGTGCAGTGCACAACATTGTAGGGTATTTATGATGGTTGTGCTGTTTTCAGTCTCTGAATACCAAGAAAAAAGGAGAGTGAAAATAGTAGGAAACTTCTATCAGAGGTTCTGATAGTAAAAGAAAAAGATCCAGTGCATCTTTCCCAAGGGTATATGAATTTGGTGTTGTCATTTTACCTTGGCATGTTTCCCAAGGCAGACCAGTGGAATAAAGGCATCAAAGACTTTCTAAATGTGGCAGCTTAAGCTTTGCTGTAATTACAAAGTGCTCAAAGTAACTGAGCCATGGAATTCTGATTTCTCTGATGTGGTGCAGGCTGAAGTGTCAGGCCTCCTCTCTTCTTCATACAGAAAGAGGGTGAAATTTCCCTTGTTCTCCAAAATATTAAATAAGTGCATCTTCTAAAAGATCTCCTTATGTCAGTAGAGCTGAGACTTGTTTTGCCATCCTTTTCACTCTACAGAAGCAAGTAAGTGTCATTACTTGGTTTCTCCTGAGGGTAGATTTATAAACCTGCTTAGATACGTGGGGTTTCTTGTTAATTGTATGGAATCGAATAATCTTACTGAGATTAAAATGTATGGAAGAGGCTCAAAGGCAACTGAGCAGTGTAGTTACACACAAACAGTAAGTGTTTGAGGGATAAGAGTTAAGGGTTAAAATTTCAATTAAATATTTTTATCTTACTTGCATTTCATACTGTTGTCTGTTGTGTGACTTGGGAAACTTCTGAAATTGAATTTAAACAATGTATTTGTGTCGTGGTTTAACCCCAGCCAGCAACTAAGCACCATGCAGCCGCTCACTCACTCCCCCCGCCATCCAGTGGGATGGGGGAGAAAATCGGGAAAAGAAGTAAAACTTGTGGGTTGAGATAAGAACGGTTTAATAGAACAGAAAAGAAGAAACTAATAATGATAATGATAACACTAATAAAATCACAACAGTAGTAATAAAAGGATTGGAATGTACAAATGATGCGCAGGGCAATTGCTCACCACCCGCCGACCAACACCCAGCTACTCCCTGAGTGGCGATTCCCCGCCCCCACTTCCCAGTTCCTATATTAGATGGGACGTCCCATGGTATGGAATACACCGTTGGCCAGTTTGGGTCAGGTGCCCTGGCTGGGCATGAGAAGCTGAAAAATCCTTGACTATAGTCTAAACACTACTGAGCAACAACTGAAAACATCAGTGTTATCAACATTCTTCACATACTGAACTCAAAACATAGCACTGTACCAGCTACTAGGAAGACAGTTAACTCTATCCCAGCTGAAACCAGGACAATTTGCAATGCAGCTGTCTGAAACCAGTGTTTCTTTTTTATTTCCCAGCCATCCTTGCTTTTAGCTATACCTAAAGAATTCTCAGTTTGCTTAAATGGAGTAAGAAAAATGTTGCTTTTTACCTGACCATTTTTAAGTTCTCTGAAGGGTTCTCCAAAACTGGAGATAGATCTGGTGTTTAAAAGTGGTGGGTTTTTCTGTAGATTTGTGAAGAAAGCTGAGTATCAAAACTTCCTGATATGAGCTACTTAATGTCAAAGTACACTAGAGTAGCCCATTTCCTACAGCAGCAGTGTGCCCTTCTCAGAACTTCCATACTTGGGTAAGAAACAATGCCTTTTTTTTTTTTTCCCTCGTCACCAAAGAAATGTATGTCTATATGTGTATATTTCAGCTGTGAAAGAATCCTTGCCGACAGACCTTCAAACAAGAAAAGAGAGAGATGTTTTAAATGAACCTCGACAAAAGTTGCGAATATTTTACCAGGTATTGAAAAATAAGCATTAGAGGGTAAAACTAGACTCTAAATATTGCATGGAATTAAAATGTTCACTTCTCTTTTCAGTTGGGTGGAAATTTCCATTTGCCTTTTTAGTAGATGCCTTAAGAGGTCTCAGATTCACATATTAAGAGCCATTCCACATATTTCTTACAGGAAGTATTTTAGAAAACTAATCCTCCTGGGGGCACATCTGATGTTCCAAAATACAAAGGACATCTCTTGTTAGACATCTGGAGGGGGACAGGTGGTCTCCTAGGGGGAGAAAATTCTTGAAATACCAGTGTGTCAGTACACTGAGCTGATGTAGTGTTCCCAAGAATTTACTATTACTGTAGAGGTCTCCTGAAATTATGTCCAACTTTGTTTTGGGGGTTGGGAAGTTAATGAATGAAATGCATTTGATGCTAATACTACCTATTCCTTTGTTTGCATCAGTTCCTTTATAACAACAACACAAGACAGCAGACTGAAGCCCGAGATGACTTGCATTGCCCATGGTGCACACTGAACTGTCGGAAACTGTATAGTTTACTCAAACATCTTAAACTTTGTCACAGCAGATTTATCTTTAATTATGTTGTAAGTAATCTTTTTGTGATTTAGCACTACGAAACACTGTACAGTCTGTCACAGGTATTACATATGCAGTGATTCTGTTCCTAGCCTGCTAAGTTGTAGGACTGTATCTACAGGTTAAATGCAGCTTCCTTTGAATGTTACGCGAATGTTTGCGTGTTACATGGGGGAAAAAAAAAATCTTGTCGGTTTTATTTTTTTTTTTTTAAAATACATATATTTAAATAATGCTGATCACTGAAGGATGAATTCTGACTATAGCTGCTGCTTTTGCGTTAATGTATTCTTTTCATGTAGAAAAATGTAGATGTAGAAAGCAATGTAATCTACATTTGGTTGGAAGTCTCTTGAAGCTTCAGGAAATTTAGAAATGTTCTAATTTCTAGGGTGCTTGTTAGCAATCTTCTGCTGATATTTTCCTTAACTTTATAAGCAGTTCTATTCTGAGAGGTTTTATATAAAACAGTAAAATGGTACAAAGCAAGGAAGCTTTAGTATAATTTGTTTCTAGAGGTTAAAAATTATTTGGTGTTGTAAAAGGAAACTAGATCTATGTCAGGTTATTGATAGGATGATATTTAAGGTACTCAGAATTGAAAAGGTTACTTGTTTAAACCTCCTGATGTATTGTCATTACTGTTTGCTAAGTATATTTGCAATTATGTCTTTCAGTATCATCCAAAAGGTGCTAGGATAGATGTGTCTATCAATGAGTGTTATGATGGCTCCTATGCAGGAAATCCCCAGGATATCCATCGTCAACCTGGATTTGCCTTCAGTCGCAATGGACCAGTCAAAAGAACTCCTATCACACACATACTTGTTTGCAGGTAGGGAGATGGAAAACAAGGTCTATCTGTATTTGTGTAATAACAGCATATGGACTGGATTTGTGAAACCTAGGGATTTGTAAATCTGTAGGTGCACATAAACAGTGTTACATTTCACTATCATTGAAGTACAGTGGTTTATGACTAAATAAGATGTTATTGAATGATGATAACTTCACCCGTGATTTTTCCTACATCTTTTCAACTGAGGTATTTATTCATAATGATGTAACTTCTTCACTGCTGGCGATTCCCCCCCCCAACATTTTTGCAAGCTAGAGCTTGGAAGAATAATTTGTATTAATCAGTTACAGTTCTTAGAATTTGCATATTTGATATGATAGTTGAAAGCAGTTACTTTTTTTTCCCTTCTGCTAGGCCAAAGCGTACGAAAGCAAGTATGTCAGAATTTCTTGAATCTGAAGATGGAGAAGTAGAACAGCAGCGAACATACAGCAGTGGGCACAATCGGCTGTATTTCCACAGTGACACATGTTTACCTCTCCGTCCACAAGAAATGGAAGTAGACAGTGAAGATGAAAAGGACCCTGAGTGGCTACGGGAGAAAACCATTACTGTAATTATTCCATTTATACAAAACTATTTTATATGGATTGTGGTTTTTAAAAGATGGTCTGCAGTTGTTGTAGGGAACAAACAGGGCATATATTGTGAAAATGATGCATTTACTTTAAGAGTAAGTAGAAAATTTTGTGATGCTGAGCCAATAATGATAGAAATTCACGGAATCAAAGTTTGTATTTTCAAGTATGTCCTTAGTTGCAAAGCTAGCTAGCTTTGTTCACATGTGTCCTAACAAGTTTTCATTGTTTGTGGCTGGTTTTCTCCTTCAAAGAGGAGATGCTGGTATCACAGGAGTACACAGTGGGGTGTGTATATAATACAGAAGTAATTTATCATCACAGGTCTCTACATGATAGGACGTTTGACTGCAGTGCCTGAATTTTCATCAGTAGTTATTTCTGTGATGTATAGGTGGCATAAATTGAATTTTAGGTGTGCTTTCACTACTTGTCAGCAGACGTGCAGTTCTGATGGGTGTGTTTGTTTCTTTTCCTATCCTTTCTCCCAATCCTTCATTTCTCCAGCAAATTGAAGAATTTTCTGATGTTAACGAAGGAGAGAAAGAAGTGATGAAATTATGGAATCTTCATGTTATGAAGCACGGGTATGTTACTATGCTTAGTTTTGATACAAATAAATTACGGTATAGATTTGGTTGACCATTTTGCATTGCAATTCACTAAGTACTTAAAATTCAGTTAGCTTAGTTGTTTAGGAAAGGATCATTAAAGGATAATTTGGTAACAAGCTTTTGACTGTTTTAAGTTTTTTAGAAATGTTCTTGTGCCTAGTAGCCCTACGGCTTTGAAAAGAAAAAACATTGCAGATGTTGAGACTATGTAATGGATGGTCTATGCAGCTACCCTACAATATGGTTTATCAATGTATCTTTTTTTAAAAAAATGTTCTACTTGCATAATGATGGCTTTCTAATTTGACAGGTTTATTGCTGACAATCAAATGAATCATGCCTGTATGCTGTTTGTTGAAAATTACGGACAAAAAATAATTAAGAAGAACTTGTGTCGAAACTTTATGCTACATTTGGTCAGCATGCATGACTTTAACCTCATCAGCATAATGTCAATAGACAAAGCTGTTGCCAGGCTCCGAGAGATGCAGCAGAAGTTGGAGAAAGGAGAATCGGCCTCCCCAACGGATGAGGAATCTTCTGAGGAACAAAGTGGGACAACAAATGGATATAGTGAAAATAATATGAGAGAGAGAATTTCAGAAATGGATAGCATCTCAGGTGTCACAAAACAGAGCAAGAAACAAAAGCTCTGAAGTCAAAAGTCAATTGCCATTCAACGGACAAGCATTGAAGTGACATTCTAGGGTGCATGAGCTCTATAAAGAATTACACACAAAAATACAGATTCCAAACAGGCACTGGTGGATGGAAATAAATGATTTCAACAAGGATATTGTTTTAACAGGGTTTCTATTCAGTTAATTATGCAAGTACTACATGTATATCGGTTTTGGTGATGTAATGACAATATTCTAAGAGTTTGAGCATGAAGAGCAATATGAAAATCTTTTTGTAATTTTAGTAATTAGTGTCTTAAGAACTTTATGGAATTTACATAATTTAAGTATATGTAAAACCGTTTTTATATTAAGATTTTTGCATCTGTATCTGGCTGTTTTTCCTACCATGAAGTTGTGAAACATTGGGGAAAGGGGACTGGGATACAGTTTCTGCTTTTCTTATTTAGAAACTCTCCAGTTAGCTTTTTGTGAAAATAACGTCACACTTTTAAAGTTTAACCTTGATCCTTGTATTTGAAATCATTTATCTATTGATCATAAATTACAAATTAATTTTTTTTTTTACACTAAAATTATCAAAGTTGGCGAACTTAGCACTTCCTTTGTCTTGTGCCTGTTTGGAAAGATCTTGGCTTTTCATGTTACAGACACAGTGAAGTACCACCTTGGCTTTTTGAGGTTACCAGCAGTTTGGTTTTCGTGGATAATTCTGATGTATTGATCACCCAGTGTACCATTTTAAACTTGAACATTAGCTCCTTTATATTTTTATTACACATTTACACAGCTACACAACTATTTGATGTAAACCCTTTTTACTGGGGTTCCGCATCATAGTGTGCCATGCTAAAGCCGAGAGTCTATAGTCAGTATGTAGGCATTACGTCAATTAACTTCTTTTGAAGTTTATGCCTGCTGTTTTGCCTGAGTACAGACTGCAAGTCCAGGCCATAGGTTTAGCTTTGGCTTTTGAGATGCCACTCTTGAGGGAAAAATGCACTGTAAAATTGGACCAGAAAATGTGTTGCACTTCTTATGCAAGTACTCTGTGATGTATTGTATTCAATACAGATACTAAGATGCTGACTAAACTATATTTGAGCAGTTTTGCACTGCTGTTAACACATTTTATGCATACGTTTACAGATTTTTTCCAATGGAAAGTGGTTTCACTACTGGTACAGTATCAGCACCGAAGGGTTTATTCCAGCAAGCACTGTGGTTGAGTGACATCACCTCAATTTTTTATTATCCTTAAAATATTGCATTTTTCATATTCTTTATTTATAAAGGAACAATGCTGCTGTAAATACAGGTATTTTTAATTTTTTATTTCATTCCATCACCATGAGATGCAGTTCCCTATTTGTTTAAGGGGTATATAAGCTTTCTAATGGTGTCTTCAGAAATTTATAAAATGTAAATACTGATTTTGATGGTCCTTAAGATGTGTTTAACTGTGAGACTATTTAACTAATGGTGTGGATGTGATTTGTCATCCAGTATTAAGTTCTTAGTCACTGATTTTGTGTACAAAATAGGAAAGAGGGAAACTGCAGCTTTCATTACAAACTTCTTGAATTTGCCAGCTCTCTGAGTTTTAGCAAACTCTAATTATGCCTCTGGATAGTACATCAAGCATTTCTCTCTGGCTTTAATTTGCTAAAGCTGTGCACATATGTAAAAAAATAGATTATTTTAGGGGAGATGTAGTTCTAGAATTATTGCTTATGTCATTTCTTAAGCAGTTATGCTCTTAATGCTTAAAAGAAGGCTAGCATTGTTTGCACAAAAAGTTGGTGATCCCCCCAAAAATAGTAATGAAATTACTTCTGTCCAGTAAACTTTGTATGTCATGTCAATTTATAATAAAAGCTGAAAAAATCCCTTTGTTTTCTATTTATAAAGATGCCTTTTCTATATGTACCTTTGATAGATTTTGAAGATACCATGTAAGCTGGTTAAAAAGAATTTGAATGGTACAGTAGATGTAAAAACAAAACAAAACCCCAAACAAAAAAAACCAAAACAAGTTCAGTTGTTTAAATGAACCATTGTTTTTACATTAAATGTTTTATTTGAAATCAGCTTTTGTACATAAAGTTCAGTAATATAAAATCTGCCATGATGGTTGTCCCGCTCATTTTGTGTGCATGCAGAAAGGCCACAAGCAACACCTTGTATAAACTTTCTCTTCTGCATGTCTTTTAAAATTTGGATACATGTTCTTCCTTTGCCAGGTTGTTACAAAGGTAGCAAAGTTTCTGTCCAGTCTTTTTGTTATATTTAATGTGTCTCCATAAATTACCAGGTTTTTAGTTGGATTATAAAAACTTCTACTCTCCTGTCTTGGGGGCAGGACTGAGTTCCTGAGATAAATCTGTTAAGTTGTGTATTACTGTTTAGAACTGTAATTTATATAACTGAAAATGAAACATCACTTGTGTCAGCTATAAAAATAGGACTTGTGTGGCTTTTTACATGCAAGTGGTTAATGTTTCAAACAGATTTTACAAGACAGTTTATTTAGAGCAAAATTTAAATCAGTATCAGTTGAAAACAGTGCTTCTCTGGGACTGTAGAGGATGGATATTCCAGGTACTACAGAACAAAATGAGTAAGGAATTGCACTGCTTGGCCAAATAGTGACTGTTGAATAGCAGACACTGAAAACCTTTTTCCATGTTAGAAATAATTCAGATACTGAAATACAGGATATCACAGATAAACTCTGTAAACTGGACTTCAGACTGCAGTTGTTGGGTATGCTTTCATCTCTAAAATTGGCAAGGTTCTTCTAATCTACCCTTTAGTATGTTCATGGCAGATTTTAATGATGTTTTATATTTGGTGATTATCTTAACACAACAGGACTGTGAACCCCAGGTTGGAACCTAACATGACTTGAATACTTAATTCAGTGCATTAAATACTATATTCAAAATTGTTAGATGGATTTGTTAACCTTATGTGTATGTTGCTTTGAGTGTGTCTTGAATATAGTCCTTGAATTTTTGGGGGGTGGGGTAAAGATGGACTGCCTGGAATGAAGCAGTTGCGAATAATCTGAACTGTTCTGATTCCTTTACTAATCACCAAAACAAAACCCCCAAACCATACAACCCACCCCAAAGCAGCAATTTGACTTTACTTTTGCGAATGCAGGAGCCATTCTGTGAGGACAATTTTGACAATATTGTTCAAAGTTAAGTATTTCTTAATTCACAGAACAGTTTGGTGCCATCATCAACCGGTGCTTGAATGAAGGTGTTCCTGTTGGACCAGATCCTGGTTATAAATCTGATACTGCATGGTTTCACAACTGAGAAAACAAGAAATCTGAATGAAGTAGGTAAGTCTGCCTTCCATGATTCTGATACCTGCTGTTCTTAAGTTGCTTGATTTGAGACCGAAGATGCTCTCTTTAGGAGAAATACTTGGCATCTTACCCTGGAGAAAGTTCTTCATATGAATGGTGTATTTATGAGAGAAAGCTACCAAGTCGGCAGCCTGATTTCTGGTTTCACAAGTTATTTTTCCTTTAGTAAAGCTGTGTGTTAGTTCAACGTGGACTTTATTTGAAGGGGATTAAATACCTCTGCTTCTTGCTCAGTAACGGTGGCCAAAAACTACTATTGTATGAGTTGCACCATTTAATGCAGCAGTAAGGAGATGGGAACAATAAACCAGAAAAATTAGCTGTGGAGTATTGAGGAAAGTAGTTTACAGATGCTGTAACTAATTTTTAAAAAAGGAGGAAAAATTATTTCTGTAAGAGATTTCAGCTAAGATCTAAACTTCAGCTGGAAATAAAGGTAAGTGCACAAGTGAGAAACCTGGAAAAATTGTTGAGGACTTCTGAGGGACAAAAGATGGGGAAAAAAACAAGGGGGAGAAGCTCTTAAAGACGGCTGCAGCACTATAGAATACATTTTCTTATTAGAATGCAGTGATGCTCCAGCTTTATGCCCCAATAAATAATTTACTAGACCATACATGGTTGAGGGATAAAACTTTATTTAAAAAAAATTTCAAATTTCACTTGACACATAAGTCTTAGTTGAGGTAAGTGAATGTTCTAGCTTAAGAAAACAACTTTCAGGATTGGATTTCATAAGCAGTTAACACTCTGTTGCTTGCAAGGCTCCAAGAGCTAGAGGTGAAAAATTGTAAAGGAAGTGTCAAGTTTTCTATCTAGCTGAACTCTGCTGTGGAAGAACAGAATTTCAACCTTTTTAATTCAAGCCTCTTCTGCTTCTTTGCATACTTTAACTCAGGTCTCTTGCCCTGAGACTCTTCACCCCTCCCAGGTCTCAAAGGTGCAGCTCCAAGAGGTGGTTGAACAGTACCTAATTTGCAATTTGGACAGCTAGGCTTATGCTAAGTTTAAAAAAATGACTAAAAACCCAACCATACCCAACCCACGATTGGCAAGCTGCCCTTGTTCAACGTACAGCTAAAGACTAAAGTCAGAAAAACTGTTTCTTCTCTTGCCATCCTCAGCTCTCAGGGGGCACAGTAGGGGCCTCCAGTGGCCCTTCACAGTCATCTTAAGCTGCTTTGTATGTGTATTCTGAACAAACTGACAAGGCATTACCATCTCTGGAAGTACCTGAATTCAAGGCTTAAGCTTCATTTTCTAACATGCAAGTAAATATCCTGCAGAATCAATAGTCTGACTAGCCCCTCCAAAAGCAGATGAAAAGGTACCTGAGCTGTTGATACCTCAGAAGTGTAGATACAATTTTAGTTTCCATATGGTAAAAATACTAAGTTACAAGTAGTACCTGAAGTATGTAAGTGACATTACCAGCACTACTAAATGGAGCAAGATTTAAGCTGGCTGCTAGCTAGAGTGCCAGCCTGACCCTCTCTAAACAGGACTGATACTGTTTGATCATCTACTGAACCTTCTTGGCTACAGGAAAAGAATCGTATTTTAGAAGTATTGAAAATACTCTTCATAGGATAATTAGAGAGAACACTGAAAGTACAGGATAAGCTAGTATTTTCTTACTCCCTAACACTGAAATAGTTAAGCTTGAAAAACTGAGAATACTGCAGGCTTTTTGTTGCTAACAGTGGATAATCTTACCTGCAGGTGTCCAGTCTTCCTCACTTCAGGTCTTATAGTAAATTCCAACCTAACTCTATGTGCAAATTCTTTGCATCCATCTGAATCTATTGTAAATGTTGTAAATACCAACAGCCATTTGCCTTTTCTGAAATTCTCGTACCCCTACTACAGATGCCTGGGGAAAAAATGCAGGCATAGACAATTAATCTTTTTGTACTGATAATGTAAGTATGGGGGATAATAATCCAATGTGAATTAAGCTTTTAATGCTAGCATAGAGGGCTAACGTAGCATGTTGACACTGCAGGAAAAAGGGCAGAATGATTGTCTAGGCTTTATAAAAATACTGCTATTCTAACATGCTAAAATACATTTAATTGAATTTGAGGTAAGAAGGCCCTCAATGAGCATTACTTCAAAATATTTAAGTCCAGTAGTATTGCAATCTTTTGACCAGGAATAGGTTCTCTTTGATAAGCTCATTATAAATCTTAGTTGCTCCTTAGGGAAAATAGTGGTAACTTTACCTAACTTCTGCATTCAAAGTCAATTAATTCATATTTTCTTTTCCCATCCTATTACATGGAGGAGACAGTTAAATTACCAACATCTGCTACATTTTGACTGCCACGGGTTAAATCTCTGCCAGCAGGGTCTGCCTGAAGCCCATCTCCGTTACCTCCCATAGTGGATCTCCAGCAGCAGTCCCAGCTTGCTTGGGCAGCCTAGTCTGTCCCCAGTCCTCAGACCATAATCCTGTGCTATTGCATGTGAATGCAAGGTGTTCCCAGGTAGCTATTGGGATTTCCAGGAATCCTGCACATCAGAATAGCACCTCCCTTGTCTCTGTTGTTGGACAATAGAAAGAATGTTGTCTCTAAGTCTTAGAAGGGCTCTGTGAGGAATCATGGCTGCCAATCTGCATGTCATGCCTAAGTACTAAATCACTAAGACTTGCTCTGACATAGGCTACACAGTAAATATAACTAGGGAAGACAGAGCAGATAAGGATAACTGTCCTACTCTAGGTATTGGTCTAGTTTGAGGCAAGCATCTGCATTAAGTTGATGTAAGCATCACCATGCAACTACTCTAGAAAAATATATTCCAAGTGACAACACAGAAAACAGTTCAAGAAATATCTCAAAATAAGGCACTTAAGTGAGACATTAACAGACTGGCTACATATTTAAACAGACATTATGGCTCAGACATCCTTGCTCTGGAGGAATGAACAGTACCATGCATGAAAGAAATGGCTGTTGCAGAACCCACTATCCATTCATACTATTAAGGCAGCATTGTGTACAAGGAAGCATAGCAGGATATCACTGCTCTAAATACTTTGTTCTTTTTGAGTGGTATAAATAAAACTTTGGTCCTTATCACCCCCCTAAATGTTTACAGGCTTATTTCACAGAGCAGCAGCATTAAGCAAAGTTAATTCTACACAATACACGTACCCTGAGACTAGAGTACAATGAAATACTGACAAAAATCAAGTCTGGAGGAAAAAAGGGAAAGGGCTTATGGACTGCTTAAATTAATTTGCCTACGCAAATACCTGCTTCTAACTTTTTCCAGAGTAACAAATCCAATGTTTCACAATTGTTTTTCTTTAAATGAATCCAGCAGGAAGTACAATATAGTGGAGTTCAAGTAGTATAAAGACAGGTTTTTGTTAACAGATTGTTGATGTCAAACAGCTGGAAGCCCAGGTTTTAACATTACACTTTACAGCAAGAACAAAAATCCCTTCACTCACTGCTAAAACACCAAAACTTTCCAGCCTGGGTATGAAAACGAACATCCAAAATACAAAGAGACACAGCATTGATCAAGTACCCAGTCAAAGACCACTTCTCTGTTGTTAGAGCTAATGGTTACTCGAAGCTTGAAGTTCCCTCCCTCGTTGCTGGAAGGCCCTAACTGCACAACTTCCATGTCAAATGTCACAGTTGATCCAGAAGTAACAGCAGGCAGTTGGTTTGTCATCTCTTTTCCATTTACAAATACTGCCCCTGAAACAGTCAAGATATCAAATATCATTTCTCAGTTCCTGTACTTACTAACATGGAACACTATGTCTCCCTATTTTTTTTGCAGGCAAATAGAAATGGAAAGCAACCCTGCCACATTCCTTTTCGTCACATCAAACAGGCTGCACTAACTGCAAGCAGGAAAAGGAAACCTATGCTCTCACCAAAGATTTTAACTGCACAAGCAGTATGTACATAAAACATGGATGAAGTTGCTTATATGTGATCCAGGGATATAAAGAACCAGGGGCTATGGGTTTTGAGAAAGGAAAACAAAAAAAATTCACACTCTTCAATTACATGATTCAGACTCACCATTTGTGCTAATGCACACAGCTTTATCCCGCTGCAAAGAATCATAGCCGTTCTGCTGCTCCACACACACTCCAAGGCTGTCTCGTCTGTCTGGCTGTCCCACAGTTTCAATTCTACCAGGCAAAAAGTTAAGTCAAACCCTGAAGCTTTAAATCAAAACAGACAATGAAATCCAAACAGTAATACCCTGTCATACCAGACCTCTGTACTGTGCTCCAGGGCTTTCAACAAATTCATCCAACCTTTTGGGGAGATCCCTGTTGAATGACCTGAAGTCCTACCAGCTTTCCCAGCAGCTTCACTGAGTAATGCTTTCTCTATTAATCTGTACAAAACATGAATCTGCTTCCTGCAAGCTTTCATTGCTATTTAATAAACTTCTCCACTGTCACAGCTTAGAGTCTTTTGAAATTATTTCCAGTTGTCTGAAACAACCAATATGTGCAAAACTACAATCATCTATACCAGATTACTGGTCAATATCTTGTATTATGGCAAGATGGCTGTAGTTTCAGCAAGTATTTAATAAGCATGACTAAAACGGGGGTTTTGAACCCTGCTATGTTCTGCTGTAAAGGGGTGGGGGCGGAAGGTTGATGTGTTTTGGTGGTGAAGGGTTGTTGGGTTTGAGGGTGTGTGTGGGTTGTTTCGGGTTTTTTTTCATAAATTAGCTTTGTGCAAATGTGTATTAAAAACAACGCCCAGAAGACCATTTACAAGTCTGGCTTCTGTTCAGCTGCATTTAGGATTTTGGTCCTGAGAAAGAATCTCCAAAGAAAAAGCAAACAAGTTGTGCAAATGACCTGGGACACAGTTCCCTTTGGGCCCTCTGCAAGGCCTGCACAGTTTATACACTGAAGGGCTCTTCTGTATTTGAGTCCTTTCTCTCGTACTGCCATCTCTCAAAGGTGCTAAATCATACTTTAGAGAGAGCCTGAGTGACTTGGGAAACTTTTCTAGAAAAGTAAAACAGCATTTATTTTCATTACAGCTTGAGAGAAAGAGCAGCACTGATACATGGTTGTTGCCAAACAACAGAAAAACTTAAGCAGAAGCTTTTAAGAACTGGAATAAACTGGGCAGTGGACTGGCACACAATGGGTTAACTCTTTCAAGACAAACAAGGAAGATAAAATTGGTTACTTTTGCACTCTATTAGGTTTTTTAGTCCCCTGGGAACATCACTAAGATAGCAAAACCCTTGTACTGTAAAGCAAAGAAAAAAATTTAAATATCCAAGAAGCTTTTAATTTAGAAATGATCCGCAATGTTTTCCCAAAACAACTTTAAAGGAGATTTCAAATTCATCTCACTACTCCACTTTAGATTGTAAACTCTGCCTGAGTTACTGGTGAGGTTTTATAAACAGCTATTTATTAGTGAACTTGAGGGGTAAAGCCTTTGTGCTTAAGTAACATTAATTCATGTCATCCCTAGTTAAGGGAGCCTTTCTTGAGTTGGAAATAAGCATTTTTACAGGCACAAGAATGACCAAAAATGGATAACTATAAACCCATTAAAAAGTAGAAATTTTATCATGTCAATCTGTAATCCACACTTACTCATATATTATAGACCCCTTTTGCAAAGCACTAAGGTAACCTGGACCAGCAGCAGTAGGAAGAAAAAAGCATCAAAGAAATAAGACAACAGCAAATACTGAGGAGCAAGAGTACACCCAGCGGGGGGAGCGTTTACACAGGAGACAGTCTAGGACCAGCTGAACGTTTTAGATTCAGCTCTCTCAGTGAATCCAGGCTCAGGCCATGTTTTTCATCATGCACTTCTGTATTCATCACACCCAGGCTTTCCAGCATCAGGGCTACCATCCCCACACCGCTGCCCTCACTCCAAGAGAGCAGACTGGGCTGCATGCTAACGCAAAGTAGGAAAGAGCCAAACCTTCCTTACACCATAAAGAGGAAGCACGATCCGAGTGCCTAAGAAAACAGCCAACCTGTAATTCTGCAGTAGCTTTCCTCCTCTCACACACATAGGGAAGAGGGCCAGGATCTGGTATAGATCACCATTCCTTTCCTTACTAGGTTTTGATTTTCCAGCAATTGATAACCAGCCCAAGACAAAGAGCCCCCATACAGTACAGAGCATCACTGCACAATCTCCTAAGCTTTGCTTTACTAGGCTGATTTTTCCTATCATGTTAGCAAAGTTATTCTCCAGCCTCTGTGATCCCTGGGACTTAAAATTTTAAAAAGCCTACAGAATACGTGGTAGGAACAATGCTCAGTGGGACACTTTTCAAATCCCTTCTCACCACTTCCAATGCTGCAGAGCACAACCTTGCCTCTGTCACTGTAGCACACACAGTTCAACCACCACCAGTTTCCATTTGCCTCAGACCACAGACAAGTGAATCTGCAGGTGATCACATGTGCTTCCTTTATATTAGCTGTCAGTAGAATTGTGGGTTCCTGACAAAGTCAGCATGATCTTCATATGGCACCTGCTGGATGATCCCAAATCGCCAGATTGGCCAGACTGACTGTGTGGCTCCCCACTGCAAGCAAAAGCTTTAAAGAAGGACAGCTGCAGAGCAGGTCAGTGGAGAAATGTTCCTTTTCCTAAGGGCAGCTCCCTGAAGGCTGCAAAGGAACAGGATGAGTCTTGACTTAAAGCAATGATGTTTTCCTACTTGTCCAAATGCTTCGCCTCAGAGGATAACTGAAGCAGTCTATCTTTAAAAAGCAGATAAAAAGCATTGCGTTTATTGCAGCTTCACTTTCCACTGATGAGGTATGCCTGTGGCCTGAACACGCAAAAAGAATACAAAGCTGCTTCACAAATACCTGTAACATGAACCTTGCTTATTTGGTTTGTTCTGCAAGCCACTTATCCTCTTGTGAATACACTTTTGTTTCAACAGATGGAGAAAGCCAAGCGCCAAGTATTACATCTCCCTGCTCAGGAAAATCTCACACACTTTCAAACAGGAAGCTACTCTTGGACCTTCCAAGAGGAACACAACCGATTTTTGAGGTTGTCTTCAATCTTAAGATTTGTGTCATTATAGTTCTTGTGGACATGTGCTTATTAGTGCTCTGCTATCCTGAAACAATCTCCTCTTGGAGAGGAGTCCACATTACCAAAATGTAAAGCAAAAGATTTTCATATGCTACCAATAAAAAAAGATAAAAGGCATTGGTCTGAAAGAGAACCAAGGGAAACCTCAAAGTTCTGCCTTTAATTTCACAGGCATTTCTGAGCCAAGAGATGTTAAATCTAGCAACAGATTTCAAATGAAAGCTTTAGATCTTTTTATTCCATCTTAGATGGGGCAACTGAATACATCCTCATACTACAACCATCTAAAGTTAAGATTAGTTATCAGGAAGGGAGAAATGAAACACCATGGAGTAAGTTATAAAAATATAATGAACGACCCCCTTAAACTGCCTTTGGGGGGTTGCCTACTGTACAGCAAGTAGTTTTATTTAACCAGGGAAAGATGGAATAAAGCTTCAGAGTCTCTGAGGTCTGTAATTACAACTGACATATCCACAAGGACATTCCTCATACCCTGTTAAACAACATCATCTCAGGGATAGGACTACAGGCAGCAAAGCTGCCAAGGTTTTTAATCACATTCTGTGTCAAATGGAAAGCTTGAATTCCACAAGATCCCTTCTCCACTCAGTATTTTTCTAATGCCAGTTTCAAGCAGTAGTCTGATCAGCACTAGTTATCTCAGATGTTTAAGACATCAGTGCCAGACTGTCATCCCTACCTGTCCCAACAGCATATATAATGTTTTCATGACCAAATCCTGCAAAGCTTGTGGATACTCTGGGAAGAAAAGCACCCACTGACCCAAGGTTAAAAAGAATCAATGGCAAGCCTCCACTGACTTCTGACCAGCCAGTAACAGCTGCTAAAAAACTGGAGGAAGTTCAACATTCCACAGATTTGCTCAGCACGAGCTGTATTTATCATCCTTCAGGAGTTCGCTCGTCTCTTTTAGATAGGTGCAGGTCCTACAAAAACATCAGGTGTTTTCCTAAAGAGCCAGGAAGTAGAAGAGAAGGATGTTCAGACTTTACCCAGACACACTACTTTGACTGGGGCTGAGCTGATGTAAAACTCAAATATGCACCATGACTCAGATTTACATACAATTGAGATGTAACAGACTAGAGAAGGAAGCTTGGCTCACAGGAGATGCACCAGACAACAGCTACCCAGAAAGTACTTGCCTGAATGTTAATGTTTGCCCACAGAAATAAGTAGGAGCTTTGGAGTAGAGCACACCGCATGACTGAGAATCATTTCGAAGTGCTATGTTTCTTCGACTGCTCAAGCTGTAACCCTCCAAACCAGCTGTCCATTCTTAAAATAAAAGAAAAAAAAAAAGAAAAAGGCATGAAAAGTGTGAACCTCAACTTGACCACCTACTGTCTGTGCAAAACCAAATCAGTTGCAATGTCTGCTCAGTTTACCTCATATGAAGCTTAAGCTATATTAAGAACAGAGGCTAGTTTTGCCGCCTTCTGATGGAGATTTCTTTTTCAAATAATTTGCAATTACAAAAAATATTTCCCAGCTCACAGAATTCACCAGAAGTTCACTCTTTGCTGCAATCCCTGCAAAGTCATATTGTAGGCAAAGGAAAACCTTCATTACCCACTGCCCTTAAAAATTTGCAAGTGAAGAGAAAACTTAGGTTTTACTCTCTCCAAGATAAGAGCTTGTTACGAGACTGCAGGTCAAAAAAAATGCTTAGGTAGGGGTGAAGGAGAAGGAAAAAAAATGCTTCAGTTCTAGCTCATTGATGCTTTCCAAGGCAAAGCAGTGAGCTACCTGCTGGAAAGGCTCACTAACTGTCCCTCACACTAGGAAGCAAAGAATAAATTGTAGGATGAAAGGATAGTTCATCATACATTACACATATACATCATAGCTAAGGACGTCCCACCATCATACAAAAAGCAGCTCCATAAGTCATTCAGCTATAGACCTTCAGGAGCGCTGTGCTGATGACACAGGCTTAAGATGAAGATGAACAGCAGCAAAACAATACCATGGGGAACTAGCGTGGTACGGCCGATCTGAGGAACACTCCATGGACTCCACTCTTGCCGTCCATCTCCGCGGGCACAGACTCTGAACTGGTAATCAACATTAGGATCAATATGCAGCACTATGAACTCTGTCTCCGAGCCGACATACACATCTTCAAAGTGGCTGGCAGTACTCTTACGATATTGCAGTCGGTAATCTTGTGGTATGAAGTCATCATCCACCTAGAGAAACATTTATTGCATTAATAAAGGACCCCCTCTTTTTTTTCTTTTGCCCCTGAAGTGGCACCCATTAGGATAGTGCTGCAGGCTGTCAAAGGCAATTCTGAGTCGCAAGGTATTAAAGAGCAGAAAGCATGCCTTATAGAAAATAAAATCAGTGTCTGAACCAACTAATACAAAAAGTATAAGAATTATTTGATTACAGTTTAAAAGTATCTATAGGAGAAGAAACATTTAACAGGCAGCTTTTCAATCTAGCAGAGATATAACAAGATCCTTCAGCCAAAAGCTGAAGACAAATTTGCCAAAGAAATTCAGTGCCAGTTTTTAACAGCAGGGGAAACTCACTATTATTCTTCATAAACTGTTCCAGGGAATGACTTTCAACTCTTTGATAATCTCTAAGTCGAAAGAGATTTTTTAATTTTTTTTTTTCCCCACAAAAGTTCTACTATGCCCCAAGCATGACCAAATTCAGGGACCTCCTCTATAGCATAGAAAATCAGACCACATGTGATAGTAGTGCCTATGGTTTTGTAACCTGAGTCCACATCCTTGACAAGGTAAGGGTGGCTGACCAATGGCTGGCTGTTGCTAGAAAAACAAGTTTGTTTAATGCTGCCAAGGAGCGTAGTAGAGCTGTCCAACAACAACTAAACCTCACCAGATCACAGCAGTGATTTACTCAAAAATAGTTTTTGTGTATTGAAGAAAAAGGCTACTTGACTAGCTAATGCCTATTAAAATATTTTTTCTTTCTATCCACTGCATCTCCCTAAGAACACAAACATGTTTAGGTGTAAAAGCATAACCGAACAGGTTCAGCCTCATCCTGGGTCTGCTATAGCATCTTCAAAGGGAACAAAAGCATCAGCCCAGCAACAAAGTTCCATCTGAGAGTGGTTGGCTGTTAGGGCCACACAAACAAACCCCTCACTTCCACAGCACAATTGGCTACGTGCAAATCACCTCTGTCAGAAACATGCACACCAGGAATTCTTGGCCTTGTTTGTACAACAGTATCACAGACAGATTACACTCTAGTAATTTGTTTAGAGGGAAGAGTATTTGAAGGAGTTGTTTCCTGCTTGCCCGGCACCTGGCACTTGCTTAAGCATGGGAAGCAGGGGTAGCAGTGTTTTCAGCTACCCCTCCCAACTTTCCCACAAACAGGGAAGGCGACTGTGAGGCAGAGGTGCATCAGCAGGTCGGCCCTTTCTACCTGCAGATGGGAGCAGGTAGAGTCCAACAGCAAGAGTCTAATGTACAAGTGTCACTACCAGGCAGACACAAACCCTAGCGCCAACCACAACATCACTAGATTACCTTGCCTTTAAATTAGGCCATTACCATAAAAATCTCTTCTAAAGTTTCTAACTGAACACTGGAGTGGACTATTCCTTTGAAGGCAGTAGAGAATCCAGAATGAAAGTGGCTTTTTCAGTTTCTTTCAACAAAACTGAAATCTGAATGATCCTCACCCAGGATATTTTACCTACCTTACACCATCGGACTAAAATACCTCCAGGCTTCTCAACAAATTCCTCTAGCTGTACAGGTGGTCGAGATGCCACAGTTCCATGTCTGAATATTTGATTTTTCAATATAGTAAGAAGGCAGTCATCCAACTGGGCAGATAAACAAGGCACGTCAACCAAGGAGGGCACTTCTGGTAAGCTGAGAAAGGAAAGTTTGCTGTAATGAAAGGGGCCAGCTTCTACAAATTCATATTTTGTCCATACACATGAATCTGTGCAGATATGCAAAGAGAGAACAGCTGCAGAAATTGGCATGTGCATTTCAAACTTAAAAGACTCAGAAAACATTGTGTTTCAGCCCTAACCAGACTGCCTGTTTCTCAGTAAATACTCTGAAATACAGGCTGTTCCACAAGGAGTGGGTTTCATTGTTCATAAATAAACAGCCTATATTTCTACAGACCATATGGAGGTTGAAAACTACTCCATCCTGTGACTGCTAGCCCCAAAGAAAGCCTATGAAACAAGTGACAGTAACACCTCAAATGAATCTTTTAATGCAGTGGAGTGGAAGGCTTTTGTTTCAGAGGAGAAAAGATCCCCTATACAAGAAGAGCACATGTGCTGCTGCCTCAGATCACCTCAGTGTGTCAGTATCTTACCTATCTAGCTGAATATGTAAAGCTTTTTTTGTAAAGCTGCAAAGTTTCTCATTCTGTTGTCCCACATCTCCATGGACTGCACTCTCTCCTGGAATCAAATGGTAAAAATATTCCTAATGAGAAAACGTCCAAGAAAGACATTCTTTGCTTCAAAGAATAACTAGTTCTGACATGAACAACCAATTAAACATGAAGCATTCTCAGCACTTTTGCTAGACACTTAGCTAGAAAATACAATTATAGTTAACAATATAAAGCCTATCTAGCAACTTTTGAAGCTCTCAAAGCTTCCTGTAGACACACCCAAAACAGATGTAATAATTTGCCTCAGGTATCAGACAGTAGCAGAACTGGGGTCAGATGCCAGAAATTAGGATTATTAATCCCTTCCTCCACCTGCTTTAAAGGAAGAAAAAACCAAAGCACCTTCACTGAGCAGAAAACAAAAAAGCAGGAGCTTAAAAGCAAAAAATAATTTCAACCATTGTGCTGTTTGCTACAATCTAAATGGTAACTATTGTCATAATGAAGGAAATAATCCATGCATTAAAGTGTGGAGATAAATAGAAATCTTTTCATAAGCTTTCCATATAAAGTAGCATCCCACACTTCAGCTTACAGAGACGTACGCTCCATTCTCCTATCTGATGACTTTATGGTAATTTACAACATAAGCAAGCTCAGTCCTTTTCCAAATGGAGGATTACAAACATTACAAATCTCTAAAGAAAAGCATACGTCATAATTGGCAGCAGGAGATTTAATAACCATGGAGCTTAACTCCTTTCTGACTCAGATGCAACAGCTGCTCATTTTGACAACGCGACTTAGCAATGCTTGTACTGCTACAGAGGGAATGGTGACCCGCAGAATAGGAGGTGCACGGGTAGTCAGGTTCTCATGAGATCTGATAGAAACTCATGTAAACACAGGCAATCTTTGCCACCACCCTGTGATTCGTAACTTGAGACAAAGTAAAACCAAGGTGACTACCGGCTGTCCCAGAGGTTGTGGTGCTAAAAAAACCAAAAAACAACAACAAAAAAAACCCCAAACACGCCACAACAAATTAATTCTTAAATATTGTCACTACTCCTGTGAGCAGGAGGCAGAGCGCTATCAAGCCAGCATGCTCTTTAAGTGCAAAGCTCATGTCTGAGTGGAAGCTGGTAGATTTCCTACTCATGGGAGACTGCTCTATGCACTTTAGTTCACAAAACTGAGATCATGTTGAAAGAAAGTTAAAGTTGCGACACGAGAACAATGCAAGGAAACTGCCAACATACTCATGGCTCAGACATGCTCCCAGTAGGTTCTCCAGTGTGGGGAAAGCAGACAAGAGTGACGTTCCTTTCTGGCTAGGTACTTAGCATCAGTAGGGTACAAACTGGCCCTTAGAGTAATACTCCACAAGTCCGTTTTTGTCTGCCTCATCCTCAGACTTTTTGGAGAAATTTTTCTCATGCAGTGGCCATTTCATTCTTCCACTGTCCCCCATCAACAGTCAACATAATCACACTTAGCAGGAAAGATAATCTGTTTACTTCAGCTGCTATTCCACTGAGACACAAATAACTTCCTTCAGCCAACAGAGATATTTTGTTATTATGGTACCCAAGATGTGTTTTATTTCAAAGTAGCCTGACATAATCCTCTTTCAAGCATGGAGAGATGCAGGACACCTCTGCAGTGAGATGTTTCCTAAGTAGGTACTTCCTGCCCTTGTGGAGAGGCTACACTGACATACGCACGCCCCGGGATTGGAGCGAAATATTTAAATATGGATTTGTAGGAGATAATATTGATCAGCTCTTCACTACATCTACCCAACTTTAACCTTTTCTTAACATTTGGTTTGAGAGAAGTCCAAAGTGAGCCAAATATGCTGATCATAACAGTCTTCAAGAGAAGACACACTGGAAGGTAGAGCCAAGACTTAGTATCAGGTCCTGCCTTACCTTCCCGGAGCAGATCATCAGCTGTACTGACTCCATGCTCTATTAGCTTCTGGCATTCATCCAAGGGTTTGATACTGTCTTGTTCTATAGCATCCACTTCCTGCAGCAGTGACATCAGTCGCTCATCCAACAGCTTCTTTAGGGTCCCTTTCAAATCATTAAAATGTTGCTCAAGTACATCTCTGGTCAATGTTGCACTTTCTCTGATCTAAATTCAGGTAACAGAGAGAAGGATTCAGGATAAAGGCAAAGGCCATGCACATCTTTTATTTTTCTGAACCACCTCATCTGCATCTGCTGGAGAAAAGCGGTGCATGAAATCAACTTTGAAAGAAGGACCACTGGCAGTTCACAAACTAGTGTAGTCATTTTTAGCACATGTACAGCAGGGAAGGAGGCAAAGAAACTAGTCTGGACAAGGGGAAGAGTATATTAACTAAGCAAAATACAAACTGGCTTAGGTGTACTTCAATGAAGGAATTTTTCTTGTCAGAAAATCCAAATGCTCTGTAGGTCTTCTCCCTACCGCCCCTCAAAACTGCTGTGATCCTGTTAAAAAACCACCCTGCTAGCATATACAGGTAATCCTCATGGGAAAGAAAAAGATATCAGGCTTTTAGAAGACTATCTAGGAGCACTTTTCCAGGCCCTATGACGTCACTGGATTTTTAAAGTCCTTGTAGAGCTGCTTTCTTTTCAATTTTTTTTTTAAATAGCCACCTTTGGTTTGTCTGTGCTCCAGGGTTACAGGGCAGGGTGAACAGCAAGTCTGTTTTGATTCTGGAACAACTAGACCACAGAAGGTTCTACAAGTGCTTATTAAAATGTTTGCAAACTTGCTGAATCTGACTTTTAGGGAAGAAAACACATTTGAACACCCCTGAGCTAAAGATGCAAAAGTCAGAAGTAAAGATCTCCCTATGAAAAACTTTTCTAAGTCACATGCACAAGGAAATGCTGCAACATGCACACGGCCTTACACGTAATTTCTAGATCTTTAGAAGTATAGACAACCAACACAGGAAGTGTTCTGGTTAGGTAAAATAAATTTCCTCTTCAAGTAATATTCATGAACGTCTGCAGCTGCCACACAGCTCGGTTTCCCTTCTCCTGTTATTTTAACGCTTGAGAAGAAAAAGGAAGTATTTAGCTTCATGAAGGGGTGGGGCAGAGGAAGACAGAACAGTCACTTCTCTAAGCCCATTACCTCCATTACATGCAGATACAAATTCAACAAGTCAGCCTCAGAATTACAGATACTACTAGCTACACAGAAGAGGAAATGCAAGTCCCTGAACATACAGAGCTGCACGAAGACTGTTGAAAATCGTGTCCCATTGGTCCAAAAGAAAAGGATGCAATGAAAGTGTTCTAAAGCGCTTCTCCTATCACATTGGCCCAACAGTCCCCAAATAATAAAGCTTCCGCTATCTGAAGCCCTAATCCAAGACATTCAGCACTTCTGGACACAAGGAATTCTTGGACACGTGTTGTGTGGCTGATTCTTTGTGGACAAAACAACACGTGGTCCTGAAGATGGGAAGAGAGAAAACAGAAACATGCACACAAGCCAAGAAGTTCCCCCAGGGAGGACAAGGAAAGAAAGGTAAGCTAACTAAGCACTGACAGTCACTGCAGAAAGGCAAATTGGCTCCCTCTCAATGCATTTTGAGTTATCAGGCAACACTCTGAGATGACAAGGTTTGGATTAAAGACGGTCACGAACAACTCATTTTCTTAAGTAGCTTGCGGTTTTGAAGATGACTAATTTAATGTATAGTGATCGCCCACATTCACTCAGTAGCAGGACACTAACCTAGCAGATTTATAGCAGATTTCTATGCTAATGGAATCTGCTGCAGGAACATTATCAGGTCACCACGGAAACATTTTCTGAGTTTTGCTTTGTTTTCTTTTTTTATTCACCCCTTGCAGAGTTGAATCAAAGATTGTAAGGCATTGGCTCTAGTCTGCAAAAACTAAAACACTGAGAGGATGTCTTAGAGAAACCAGTCCTTTCCTGGCTCTCCGCAATCTCCCTGCCCGCAGTTGCCTATCTTATCACGCATCTTCAGCGTGGAGTGGGTGGGTTACTAGTCCCAGTGAAAACTCTCCCCTGGCGCCAGCGCACAGCTGCAGAAAAACCAGCTAACCTGGAATGTTGGCAACACTTAGACGCGACCCACAGAGTACGTGACCCACCGAGTTTGATGCATGGGGACAGCAGACTTGAGGAGAGCAACCAAACGGGAGCATAACTGGCCTAGGCAGCTATCTTTTAGATGTGAGGGGCAGAAGACAAGCGTGACGCTCCCTATAAAATAAGACTTAGCATCCCAACCGCTTTTGAAAACGTAGTTCCTTTAGACAGCTTTTATTTTTGCCTCCCTATCGTCCCAGAAAACCAGGCTCCGTTCCGTAACAGACTTCAGCTCGCACCCCTTTCCCTTCCCGGTACTTCCTACCCCCACCCGTTCCCAAGTCCTCCAAGGCAAGGCGCACCTTTCCCCGCAGCGTGTGCGGGACCACCGGGGTCACCGCAGCCCTCGCCCACCCCCGGTCCTGCGGGATTCCCCCCCCTTCCCTTCACCTCCCCCAGCCAAGCTCTAACAGGCTGCCGCCCGCACCCTGCTGAGGGGGTTTCCACACAAAAACACGGCTCCGGGTGAGAAGAGCAGGACCGGGCACCGCCGCCGCCACCACCCCTCACAGCCCGGGCAACCCCGTCCCGTTTCCCCAACCTGGTTCCGCGCCTGGTGCAGCCCCCGCAGCCGCTGCTCCAGCTC